GCCAGCATCCTTCCCCATTTGCCTACAGAAGTAACTTGTTAGTCGTCACTCACTGGTCAAATTAACTTTGGAAGGCATCAGATTCTCCGCACTTAGGCCTGGGGGCCCCGTGTTCTTTGTGGACATAATTTTAATCTGTTTTGTTTTTACAAATTTGAATTCGTTACCACCACATAAAAGCCAGGATTTCAAAATAAAAATTCGGATTTCTTTAAAATCAGAAGGTCTGGCACCCCTCCATAGCCTACCCTTGTCCCCGGCACCAACGGAGGGAAGCAGGGGTGGAGGGGGTGGTGGTAGGGTTTCTGTTTAGCATTGCCATTGCTGTTGTTGGGTTTCTTGTCCAGTAAAAAGGCAGGGAAGTGTATTAAATCGAGTTTAGCCTAAAGCTACTTCCTTAGATATTTTAAGTCCAGCCTAAAGGTTTTTCTGTACATTGTGAACGCTAAAAGGGGAGGTGCAGCCTCCACTTGTGCCCGTCACCGAGTTTTAGCCAATCAAACATAGCCAACTGTTCCAACCTTGTTCAAATAAGGCAAAGGAGCTGTAACCAATCCAGCTGTTTCTGTACCTCACTTCCGTTTTCTGAAAGTAGGTAGAAATTAATTTGCTTTGAAAAAAATAATTTTCCCTGAAAGGTAGCGGCTGTATCCCAAGGCTTGGTCGGGTTAACAAGTGACAGCATGGAATATTTGGAGGAGGTGTGAAATCGGGCACACATGGGTTTCGATTCTGCCTAGCCACTTGTTAAGCTGTGAGGTCTCTCAGCCTCAGTAAAATGGACTTAACTGCATTTACTTGCTGAATTGATTAAAGATAATCTAACGTATGCAAAGCCCCAGGCATATTGTTCTGGCAAATAGTTTGTAATAATAAATGTAGTTATTATGTTTGTTATGAGTAAAATTTCAATGCCGCAAAAGAAAGAGCACTTGAAGATAAATCCTCTCAGCAAGGCAAGTTACTTCTATAGAAGGGTGCAGCTCACGGACGGAGCAATCGTGGCTGCACGCTTGGACAAGGGGGAAGGGGTACTTTTGCCTGACAGAGGGGGTACTTTTGCCTACTGCTGTGTCGTTCCCTTATTCCTAGGCTTAGACTGCACAAGCTGGACTAATCCCAATTGGCTATTTTAAAGAGAGCAGGGGTCCGAGCTAGAGTGTTTTGGCAGGAGGGACGGTTACGGGTGGGTCAGAACAGGTAGCCAGGAGTGACCTAGGTCAAAGAAGGTGACCCGAGCAGGTCACTGGACCAGGTGACCGGGAGAGTCAGGATGGCGTTGGGGGGTGGGGTGGGGGCGGGGGAACAGATAGGAACCACTGATTACAATCGGTGGAGAAGATTGTTTACTGGGATTACAAGGAAGTCAAACTTTAAAACAGAAAATTAAAGACTAAGAGAGCTGAACATACATACTGATTCCTCGAAGAGAAACTTCGGGATCACTATAACATGTTTGAGAACTTGAGACTTGGTCGTGGGTGAGGAAGAGAGGAATGAAAAAAAAAAGAGTCCTTATTTGCATTATAGTTAGGTCGAAGCTATGGTTTCCTCGGCCTGGCTCCCCGTCGGCCCCCATTAAACATCTCTCCCGTCCTCTGGGGAAGCTGCTGAGTCCTCCCAGCGTTGGAGTATGTGGTAGAGAGACAAACGGAGGACACCCTTCCGGACAAAGGTAGAAGATGGCTTTGTACAGATAAGGTGGAGGGCACTTCTGCGCTTGCCCTCACAGTATTGCCAGGGTACTCTTCACAGTGAAATGAGGGCAAAGTGAACCAAACGTCATTTCAGTGGAAGACAGGCTAAGGGAAATGAAGCCAGACATTGATTGGCTAGAAGCTCCCCCATGGCACCGTTTGTCTAATCTGCCTCCCCAGCTGGTGCGTTCTCGTCGATGGTTTCCTGTGACACTTTAGTTTTATCTTCTGGAAGGTAACCAGGGTTCTGGCCAACCAGTGATGAGCTTCTTGGTACTGTTATGTCTCTGGTTTTATTTTGGTGTGAATCCTCCTAAATGGTGACGTGATTCTTGCTTACAGCCCTGGAGATTGAAGAATATACTGACAAGATACAAAAGCATTTTGGGCACAGTAAGAAGCAAAAACAAAGGCAGGCATCTGGTTCCAGTCACACTATGCGAGAGAGGGGTATGGGCCAGGCTGCTACCCTCAGGACCTAGCCGGTGTCTTCATCAGGGTTAGTTTTGATACTTGAGGCAAAGAATTACAGCATGCAAATGGAGTGATAATGAAATTAGTCCTTAAAAGTAAAATTAGACGCAACTTGCTAAAAATCATTGAAAATTAGCTTAGATTCTCAAGAACTGTGAGCTTTATAGCAGTCGTTTAATGTGGAATGTCTGGCCTTCTCTGTTATAGAAAATCTGGAAAATATAGAAAGGATTAAAGGCAAAAAAATAAAAAATAAAAAGTCTGTTCTGGTCCCATAGCTCTTTGAACTCTCTCTGTTCTAGTGGACATCTTACTGCATGGCAATTACCTGTTTTAATGTCTGTCACCCCTCCCACTGGACTTCGGGTCACTTGAGGCCAGTGGCATGTCCCATTGTTTTTTTTTTTTATGTTTGTCCCAGGCTTGGTATAGTTGCTGGAAAGGGGTCCCGTTCCAGATCCCAAAAGAGGGTTCGTGAGTCTTGCACAAAAAGGAATCCTGGTGAGTCCACAGAGTAAAGTGAAAGCAAGTTTTTTAGAGAAGTTGAGAAGCAAAAGAATGGCAACTCCGTAAGCAGAGCCGCCCTGAGCGCTGCTGTGGCTGTTTTCATGATCATATGCCAAATAAGGGGTACATTATTCATGAATTTTCTGGGAAAGGGGCAGATAATTCCTGGAACTGAGGACCCCTCCCCCACTTTTAGACCATGTAGGGTAACTTCTGGGCATTGCCATGGCATTTGTAAACTGTCATGGCACTGGTGGGAGTGTCTTTTAGCATGCAAAGGCATTATAATTAGCATATAATGAGCAGTGAGGAAGTCCAGAGGTCAGTGTGGTCGCCATCTTGGTTTTGGTGGGTTTTGGCTGGCTTCTTTACCCTTTTATCACGGGGTCTTTGTGACGGGTATCCGTGACCTCCTGTCTCACCCTGTGATTAAGAATGCCTGACCTCCTGGGGGTGCATCGAGTAGGTCTCAGTCTCATTTTACCCAGCTCCTATTCAAGATGGAACGACTGTGGTTCGAATGCCTCTGACAGCATCATGTGATTCAAAGTAGTCAGAGCTGGAGAGGTTTCCTCCCTCCTCGATGAGAGGAAAGGGCGCAAGTTTTGAAGTCTGCTGGGCCTTGATTCAAACATCCACTCTTTGTATTTTCCATTGCTTTGTAACAAATGTAGCAGCTTGACATACCACCCTCTTATGAGCTCAGGGTTCTCTAGGTAGAAGACTGAGTGGAGGAATCCAGGCGAGCTCTGCTCACATCCTTACTTGGGATCTCACAGGTTGCGGTCTGGGTGTAGGCCAGGCCTTCCTCTTAGCTGGAAGCTCTGGGGAGGAATCCACTTGCATGTTCCTTCAGGTTTTTGGCGGAATCCATTTCCTTGTGGCTGGAGGTCTGAGGTCCTCATTCCCTCAATGGCTGTCAGCCAGGAGCCACTCTTCCTCCCAGGGGTCACCCCCGTTCCCCTCCTTCTTCAAAGTCTGCTGAGTCCTTGTCACGCTTCAAGTCTCTGACTTCTGTTACCAGCTCAAGAGAACCCTTTGCTTTTAAAGGGCTCTTGTGCTTGGATGTAGCCTACTCGGATAATTTCCCTTTTGCTGTACATAGTAGTTCCCCCTTTTCTGCAGGGGATAATGTGCCAGGACCCTCAGCGGATACCTGAAACCGTGGATAGTACTGAACCCTACATATACTATGTTTTTTCCTATACATACATACCTCTGATAAAGTTAATAAGTGGGGCACAGCAAGATATTAATAATCAACAATAACAAAATAGAGTAATTACAACAATATGCTAGAATGAAAGTTATCGGCATGTGGTCTCTCTCCTCTCTCTGTTCTCACTCCTCATCATGGGATGACGTGAGATGATAACGGGACTGCGTGGGGAGAGGTCCTGGTAGCTGATCTGATAACCAAGACGGCTACCAAGTGACTAACAGGCCAGGAGTGGAGACAGCATGGACAAAGGGATGATACACGTCTCCGATGGGACGGAGCTGGTTGGCGCGAGATTTCGTCACATTACTCAGAATGGTGCATAGTTTAAAACTACATTTTTTGTTTCTGGAATGTTCCTGGCCTTTTCCATGTAGTAGTTCTAAGCCGTGGTTGGCTGCTGGTAACTGAAACTGCAGATAAGAGGGAGACTGCTGTAATGTAAGGTGAGCAGCAGCCACACCGGGGCTGAAGGTCACAGGATCACCGTTAAATTCTGCCTGCTGCTTTCTTCCCCCTATGGCCCAGTGACCTGGTGCAGGTGACATAACTTCTGTGAGCGTCTTTCTTCAGCTGTCAAGCGGGCTTAGTGAAAGGTTTTGACAGAATCAGGGGAGGCAGTAAGTGCCTCTGCAGTGTTTGGCCAGGTTTTTTTTTTTTTTTTTTTTTTTTAATCCTTCCTTTGTTAAGCCAGTTTGATTTGAAATCTCTCTTGTCTGATTCAGATACAACAGAATCGTAAAGGGCCTTCTTCGTCTGAAGTACTTGTCATTCTAAAAGGTTGTTATGATTTGCCAGGTTTTTTTCTATGCAGAGGAGTAAGAAGAGACAAGCTGGGCCACATGTCCTCATCCAAACCTTTCTGGTCTTTACTTCTTCGTCTCACCCGCCACCGAGTCTGCTTCAGCTGCTGTCTCTGGGAGCCTGCAGGGTGGGGGCCAGGGAGCTCTGCCTGTGTCCCCAAGCACGTGGTGGTTCTGGTCAGAGGCCGGCCCAGCCAGCAGCTGGCCCCTGCCACTCAGCGGGAGGCCGGCCTGAGGCTGAGGGGGCTACTGGGCCTCTGACTGCTCACCGCCTCTCTGCCTGTCGCTCTGTCCCCTCAGGAGATCCCCCGAGAGCTCACGCTGGATGCCCTGCTGGAGATGAACGAGGCCAGGGTGAAGGAGACGCTGCGGCGCTGTGGGGCCAGTGCGGAGGAGTGTGGCCGCCTGCAGTACGCCCTCACCTGCCTGCGGAAAGTGACAGGCCTGGGTACGTGGGGCCTGCTGCCCTCTCCCTTGGCCTGGTGCCCTCGGGGCTGCGGCCTCCACCATGCTGGGGGATGGAGCGGGGCAGGCGTGGCCCAGGGTTGCTGGGGCAGCCTGGAAAGGCCAGGGTTGGATGGTAACAGCCTCCTGAGAAGCTCTCCCAGGGTCCTCGGGGCTCTGGATCCTGGTGGGTCTGGCCAGGCTGAACCTGAGGGGGCTTCAGCCATGCTTAGAAATCCCAGGCCTGTCTGCCGGGCCTGCCTGGTGAGGTTTTCTCTCTGTGGAGGGCTCTGCGTACCTTCCGCCAGCTTCCCTGATTCTAGCCCCCAGCCCATCCCCAGCCCGCTCCTTGCCTTCTCCTATCCCCATTGCTGGCTGGGTTCTGTGCTCAGAAGGCACACGCTAATGTGGGCCTGAGCCAAGGGCAGTTAGGGAAACTCTATGGCTCTTTAGCTGGGAGCGTGTACATGGCTGTCCCAGACAAAGTGTGTAATCCTGGCCTTGCCACGAGGTCCTTGGGAATTATTCACAGGCTTTCTAAATCTTGCCTCAGAAACAGCTTCAAATGCCTGACTTAATGCTGCCACTACCACACAGATAAGGCATTAAAATCAGCCTCGTGAATGGAATCAGGCCTGCTTTTTAATTATGTGAAGCTCCTGTCTTCCCTCCGGCTCCCTGAGGCTTAAGGAAGGCGCTGAGGTTTATATTCTGCCCGGTTTTTTTCTTCCCAGAGAGGATCAGGCTTAATTTCCTCTCTGGCCTCATTGTATCAAGTCCTCCGTACACGGCGCAGTGTAGAAAGTTGCACTCAATTCAGGAAATCTTGCCATGCCGGGTCTCCCAGCAGATGCTGAAATTAAACATGGCAGAGGTGTGGCCGGCGTTCTTATTCCCACATATTACAGGAGGAGACTGAGCCCAGAGAGGGGAAGGGGCTTGGGAAAGGGCACACAGCAGCTGATGACTGGGCCAGGATTTGAACCTCAGGCTGTAATGGCAATTGGTTTGTTCCCATGCTTGCCACCCAAGCTGAGATCTTTGGGGTAATTTGTCAGCCCTTCTTTCCTTCTTCCTTATGCCTAGATTTTAAAGAAGTGTGGAAGAGTCAGCTCTTAAGTGGTAGTGACCCATTTGGGTGATAAAGGCTGCTGTCCACCTGTCATAGATGCCAAAAGAGGGAGATCACTAATTTATGCACCTACCATGTGCCAGGCGTCTGTCACACGTATTGTGGCTACACCTTTGTAAGAGGTGGTGTTAAGCTCACTTTGTAGCTGAGGCCTCTCTGACCACTGGAGGCATTGGATGAGTCATCTGGGGCCCCACACCTGGCCTGGAGCAGAGCTGGGCTTTGAACTCAGGTTTCTTGTTCAGCGGGTGCTTTTTCCTCCCTAGAGGAGGCCCCTGAAAAGAGGCATTTTCTAGGTTTCTTCTCTCATTTAGTCTCAGCTTGTGGTGCCTCTGCATCCCCAGCAGAGTCCTGGCCCCATCACAGTCCAGGACACAGACCTTTCATCTGCCCGGTGCTGGCCACACTTCACAGGCACCTGCTGGGATCCACTGGGTACCAGCGATCCCAGCAGATCCCGCATCACAGCATCTTCACCGTGCCCCATGGGGCTTAGTGAGGGCAGTCTGGTCACGGTAAGGATGGGCTATGGAATCGGACTGCCTGGGCCCAGCACTGTGCTTGGCCACTTAGAACGTATGGGACGTTGGCAAGTTACTTCACCTCACTGTGCTTTGGTTTCCTCGTCTGTAAAATGGCAGTGATAACACTTCTCTCAGGGTCATTGTGAAGAGGAAATGAGTTAAAGTGAAGTCCTTAGACCAGAGCCTGGCGTGTGTTAGGTGTTCTTTTCAGTATAAGGCCTGTGAGGGGATAGAACATGTTGAAGTCATTTCCTTTGTAATCTCTGATCTAAAGAAAGGTGAGTGAACAGCTGGGCGTGGTGGCTCAGGCCTGTAATCCCAGCATTTGGGATGCCAAGACAGGCTGATTGCTTGAGCTCAGGAGTTTAAGACCAGCCTGGGCAACATAGCAAAACCCCATCTCTACAAAAAATACAAAAAGTAGTCAAGCGTGGTTGTGTGTGCCTGTAGTCCCAGCTACTCAGGAAGCTGAGGTGGGAGGATGGCTTGATCCTGGAAGATAAGGGTTGCAGTTGAACCAAGATCATACCACTGCACTCCAGTCTTGGTAACAGAGCCTGACCCTGTCTCACCAAAAAAAAAAAAAAACAGTGAGTGAAGGATGGTTGTCTGTGCTGGTGAATAGGGGATGAGCATTCCTGCAGATATCACTAAGCTGCAGATGCTTCCGTTGAGCAACTCTAGTGTCATTCTCAAGCAGCCACTGGCAGTCAATCAGCTGGTGTCGGTGCACACATCAAGACCCATTGGCCATCCTCGAGTGGGCCCAGAGCAGTGCTGATTAAACAGGCAACTTGCGAATTTGGGGCTCATTTCCTTTGGTGGCAGGCTTGCTCATAAATTCATGGAATTCATTCCTTCATCTGCTCAACAAGAAACCCGTTCAGTGCCTCCAGCAGGCCAATCTGTGAGCTACAGTGTCAGTCGTGGCTGCAGTGCATAAGGAGCAAGTGGCCTGGGAGCACAGGGACTGAGCAGCTCCTGTCCATTGGACCCTGAATAGAAAGTCCCTGCAGTCAGGTGGAAGGAAGGGTGTTTGAAGAGGGGATGGGGTGTACAAAGAAATTTACAAATCAGGAAGGCTAATTCTTTCCCACACCTCACCATTCTTGATGAGTAGCTTGACCACCTCTGATGACAGCTTGTTACATCCCACACCTGTTACACTGTAGGCTATTGAGAATCAGTAGCATCGTCAGGGTGGGGGTAGAAGGGGTGGGGAGCGTGGTGCTGAGATTGACGTTTTCGATTCCCGTCACACCACTTTCTTAGCTATCTGGCCTTGGGCAGTGTCTGTGGCCTCCCTGAGTCTCAGTGGCCTCCACTGTACACTGGGGAGAAGAACAGGCATTGCAGGAGGGTGGAGGGAGGCAAGGCTTGCGCAGCACTGGTGCATCAGTTCCTTCTCGAAGGTTTTAAAGAAATACCTGAGACTGGCTTGCTTATTTATTTATGAGATGGAAATGCACTCTGTCACCCAGGCGTGATCGCGGCTCACTGCAACCTCCACCTCCTGAGTTCAAGCAATTCTCGTGGCTCAGCCTCCTAGGTAGCTGGAACTACTGGTGAGCACCACCACACCTGGCTAATTTTTGCATTTTTAGTAGAGATGGGGTTTTGCCATGTTGGCCAGGTTGATCTCAGACTCCTGACCTGATGATCGCAGGACTGGGTAATTTATTTTAAAAAAAGGTTTACTTGGCTCAATGGTTCTGCAGGCTCTACAGGACGCATGGCAGCTTCCGGTTTTGGAGAGGCATTGGGAAGCTTCCAGGCATGGTGGATGGCAGGGGGAAGTGAGGCGTCCCACAGGGCAGGAGCAAGAGCGGGAGGGGACAGGGAGGTGCTACACACTTTCAAACTCACTCTCACGAGAACAGCACCAACAGGATGGTGCTGAAACAGCCATGAAAAACCACCCCCAGGATCTAGTCACCTCCCACCGGCCCCACCTCCGACATTGGGATTACAATTCAGTATGAGATTTAAAGTTCTTAGCAAGACATTCAGGGCCCTTCCTGATCTGGCCCCGCTGGGCTGACCCCTCCACCTTCATCCCTTGTGTCTCCCCAGCTTGTCGTGACCTCTGACAGCAATCAGACCTCTTTGTAGTGAACAAAAGGTGCCATATGCCCTCACCTTCACATATGCTGTTCCCTCTGCCTGGTGCTCCTTCTCTACCTTCTTCCATAGCTGGCTCAACCCAGGTGCCACCTCCTCCAGGAAGCCTTCCCTGGCACATCCCTCCCCCCTCCACAGCTGATTTGGGATCTGCTCCTCTGCAGAGGCCCCTGTGTGTCTCCGTGCTGGCACAGAGCATACTGTGTTATGTGGCGATCTTCACAAGGATGGTTCAACTCTTCACAAGGATGGTTTTTTTTAGGCCTTTCCACCCAGCATCCAGCATGTGCTTGACTGGCTACACAGACTGTCCCCTGGAGCTCAAGCCCCACAGAGCCACGCAAGCCTCAGGCCTCAGGCAGAGAGGGTCACAGTGGGGGCAGCCCACAGTCACTCAAAGGCTGGTACAGAAGGAAGTGGCTGTTGATCCCTTTATTCCTGGATCTTTTTTCACAAGCTCCAGGGCACTTTGCTGTTGGATGCTCAGAACAGCCCCTTGTCTTAGTGTTTGAATTTTGTTAAAGTGGAGTTTTTCCTTCCTTCACACACCCAGCTTCCCTTTCCTAACTCTTTCAGATCGGCCACCCCTTCGCTTTCTGAGTTCAGCCACTTTTGGTGTGGATTTCCTGGATTGCTCCCCCAAGACCTGCCTGTAAGAGCCCTGCCCAAGCCAGTTCCTCTCTGGGCTGTGCTTCGTCCTCTATAAAACAGAGATACAGGTTTTGAGTATCCCTTATTCAAAATTCCTGGGACCAGAGCGTTTTGGATTTGGGATTTGTTTAGATTTTGGAGCCTTTGCAGTGTGCCTACGTGTTCAGCATTCCCAGTCCCCAAATCCAAAATGCTCTCATGACCATTTCCTGTGAGTGTCATGTCGGTGCTCAGAAATTCTCAAGTTTTAGTGTTTTGGATTTGGGATTTTCAGATTAGAGATTCTCAACCTGTGGTAGTATCTGCACCAAGCCAAATAACCTGTGTGCATGAGAGGCCTGCATAAACCAGGTAAAGGTTGGAGTTGAAGCCTTTTCTTAATAAACAGTGTAGCCCCACACCAGTTGTTGAACCTCTCTGGCCCCTAGCCATCCTCCCTGTGAATGCCTTCCAGCCCCGAACGTCTGTGACTCCACGTCTTGGTCCACAGGAGGGGAACACAAGGAGGACTCGAGTTGGAGTTTGTTGGATGCTCGGCGGGAAAGTGGCTCAGGGCCTTCCACGGACACCCTCTCACCAGCCAGCCTGCCCTGGCCCCCGGGGAGCTCTCAGCTGGGCAGAGCAGGCAACAGTGCCCAGGGCCTACGCTCCATCTCTGTGTCAGCTCTTCCTGCCTCGGACTCCCCCACCACCAGCTTCAGTGAGGGCCTCTCGGACACCTGTATCCCCCTGCATGCCAGCGGCCGGCTGACCCCCCGGGCCCTGCACAGCTTCATCACCCCGCCCACCACACCCCAGCTGCGACGGCACACCAAGCTGAAGCCACCACGGACGCCCCCGCCACCCAGCCGCAAGGTCTTCCAGCTGCTGCCGAGCTTCCCCACGCTCACGCGGAGCAAGTCCCACGAGTCTCAGCTAGGGAACCGCATTGACGAGGTCTCCTCAATGAGGTGAGTGCTCCCCCGGCAGCCACCAAAAGTGCCCTCTGTGGTTTTCTCATTATAAAGATACATAGAAGGACAAATAAAATCAACCCCTATAGAAGCGTATAAAGTCAAAAGCAAAAGGTGACCCCATCTTTTAGCGTATTCCTCAGACTGCTTTAGCGGTGCAGGCTGCATTCCCCTAGATTCGGTTCTCTATGTACACGTGCGCATGACGTGATGCCACGTATGGGTCAGGGTAGGCTGGTTACACTGAAATACCAAGCATCTCCAAATCACCAGGTCTTTTTTTTTTTTTTTTTTTTTGAGACAGCGTCTCACTCTGTCACCCAGACTGGCGTGCAGTGGCGAAATCTGGGCTCACTGCAACCTCTGCCTCTTGGGTTCAAATGATTCTCCTGCCTCAGCCTCCCGAGTAGCTGGGATTACAGGCACATGCCACCATGCCTGGCTAATTTTTTTGTATTTTTAGCAGAGATAGGGTTTCACTGTATTAGCCAGGATGGTCTCAATCTCCTGACCTCGTGATCTGCCCGCCTCGGCCTCCCAAAGTGCTGGGATTACAGGCGGGAGCCATCGCACCCGGCCAATCACCAGGTCTTAAAAGATTAAAGATCTGTTTCTTGCTCACGCCACCTTGTCCGTCATGGGTAAGCCTCCGTCTGGGCCCGGAATGATAGTACCGACACTGCCTGAGCACCGCTGGCCATGGGGGTGAGGGAAAGTGAGTTCCAGGTGGCACGCCCTGGCAGTGGAGTACTCCTTCTTGGAAGTTACACTCACCATTCATGGCGCAGCCTGAACAGGGGAGTGAAGCAGTGCTGTTTGCCCATACGCCCAGGAGGGGAGAGCTGGAAAATTTGGCTGAAACCACTAGTGACTGTCAGGCACCACACCGTCTACTCTGTCCCACAACGTGTTTTTTCAGCTTCCCTTGGTATCTCTGAGAGCATCACGTCAGTACGTCTTGAAATATTTTACTTTCGTTTATTTTTTGACTTAAAACATTCTCCATCTACATGTTTTCACAAGTGAGACAGTCACACAGTCCACAGCGCAGCAGCTCTTTGACTCCTTGGGGCACGCGGTGAAAACTCTACTGTACCGTTTTTGTGTGTGTGTGTGTGTTTTTTTTTATCTTTATAAAAGGAATTTTTTATTGTTAATTATTTACCTCAATAGTTTCAGAAAGAGGAACAGATTTTGATTGGCAGTTACCCCACCATTTTTATTCAGTCACGTGGTTCCCCTTTCAGGAGCCATCAGACTAGCAGTTTTGTGTATGTCTATAATTATTCAAACCCCAGTTTTTTTGACTTGTTCATATGATTCCATTGTACAGTTTATCTGTCTTGTCCCTTCTTGGTGGACATTAGATCGTTGTCCTTTTTATTACAAAGACTGCCTTGTCCATATGCTCTTGTGGGCAGCACAGAAAGAAAGGGAGTGTTTTCCTTGGATGCCTCTTACCTTTGTGTACCCCTGAGGATTGTGGAACACCTAGTTTCTCTCCTCAGCATGGGGGTACCGTTTTCTACACTTGATCTTAGCCAAAAGGCCAAGAAATGATAAGGGCACCCCTTTTCTAGGGGTTTCCTTGGGCCCTGGTGTGTCTTGGGCCTCGCAGTCATCTTTGGAACGGGCCTGATCCCCTCTGCCAGTGCCTGCTGTTCGGGTCCTCTATGGGATGGAGCCTGGACAGCACCGATGGTTTTGAGTGCGCCGCCCAAGGAGGAGAGATCCGGGTGTCACCCACCCCGCTGCTGCCATCCAGGCTGACCTGGTGGAGCCTGGGTCCCACCCAGAAGGGGCTGCAGAATGCAGTGATCATGGCCACACGAACATGGGTCAGTCAGAGGAGGCCTCACAGTGGGCTCAGCCCAGTCCCTCTGTTTCTGTCTTCTCCCAAGAAGAGTATTAGGAAAGCTTTGGTCTCATTCCCATCCTGGAAGGTGGCAGGCACAGAACCTCAGGCAGGTGACACAGCTAGCCTCAAACTCCAGCCAGTGACTGAACCTCAGACTCTGGGATTCTGAGTCCAGTCCCTGCAGAGCCACCAGAACCAGCACTGACGTGACACTCAGGCCACCTCGCTGTTCTGGTGACTGCTGAGGACAGGCTGAGTGCTCTGCTTCCTCCAGCTTCATGTGTTCTCTGGGGCAGCGGCAGCCCCTGAGGGAGGCTCTTTGGGGTACGCAGGGTACGTGGGGGAGGCTCAGAGTGTGTCCCTGCCTGACTCTCCTTTCAGGGGCTACCTCTGCCCTACATGGCTGTTCTCTCTGCTCTCCTGTCCAGCCCCACCCTCGCCAACTGATAGTTCCTTTTTTTTTTTCTTTCTGAGAAGACATCTTGCTCTGTTCCCAGGCTGGAGTGCAGTGGTGCAATCTTGGTTCACTGCAACCTCTGCCTCCCAGGTTTGAGCCATTCTCCTGCCTCAGCCTCCCAAGTAGCTGGGATTACAGGCATGCATGCACCACCACACCTGGCTAATTTTTGTGTTTTTAATAGAGATGGGGTTTCATCATGTTGGCCGGGCTGGTCTCGAACTCCTGATCTAGGTGATCCACTCACATCGACCTCCCAAAATGCTGGGATTATAGGCATGAGCCTCTGGGCCTGATCTCTCCAGCTGACTGACCCCTTTTTTGCTGCCTGGCTCTGGGCCAGGCTCTCCCACTGTCAGCCTGCCTGCAGCACACCCTGCCATGGAGGTTGGTTATGCGGTACTTGGCCTTAAGTAGCCAGCACTTCATGACATAGTGAGACTCCTGAGGCTTAGTTACCTTGGCTATGAAATGGGCTGAACTCTAATTCCCATGCTTGGTTGCTGGCAAGGCTTACATAAGCTGATGTATTAAAGTGCACCGCACTGAGTTTTGATGTCCCCTAGGGAGGCCTGGGGATAGCCCTTTCCATTGAGGAAATGTCCCCACAGAGATTGCAGGGGTTTCCACAGTCACTCAGCCAGGCTGGCCCCAAGCCAGGCCTCAGAGTCCTGCGTCCCAGCCTCTTGCCTGCTCCCTCCCAAACGTAATGTTCTAGGAACGCGTCGAGCTAGCATGATGACGTAATCTCCCTCTCTGCTTTTTGTCTCCTCCAGGTTTGGTAAGAGAGATTCATTTCCATCCCCTCTGCCACCCGGGAGTCGTGTGTGCTTTGCTGTCCTCATCGGGGGTGGACCTCTTTGACCCCCTTCTTAGCCCGCTCAGCCTCTCCATAGTCCAGAAGCACAGGTGCTGGTGACCGCCTCAGGAAATAGCCCTAAGACAGGTGGCCTTAAAGTGACCGGCTGGCTTTAGCCCAGCTGGCGACTGCTCTCCAAGAAGCAGAGAACTTGAGCGCATCTCTGCCCACGGGCAGCCCCATGAAGCGCCCTGTCTCCACCTTGCGTTTCCCCACTGGGACTCTCCAGCAAGGACTCTGGCCTGCTGGGCTGTCACAGTAAAGCAGCACCCCGGGAAGGCAGTGCCATCTGCCTGGATTCACTGGACTTTAGCTGTCCCCAGAACCCCACCTGATGTCTCGGGACCCCACTCTTCAGGAGAGGGACCTTCCTGGAGGCAGAAATGCAGCGCAGCTCCGAATGAGGCCCCAAGAGATGAGAGGCGCAGATGCCCCTTTGGGAGGGGAGGACACCTGGGCAATCCTTGACCCCCTTTCCCACCCCAGTCTCCAGGTTGGGAGCATGTTCCTGCGCGTGGCTGAGCTATGGGGCTTCACTCATGAGTCAGAGTGGAGGGAGACAGCTGTGCCTCTGGAGTCTGCTTTTAATTGTCTGGAAATGCAGAGATGTCTGGTTTTTGCCTGAGCAAAACAGGAGTTTATTTTTATGCCATCCCAAGCCGGCTAAGGAGAGTCACGTAGCTGTGGGCGGGGTCTTGGGGATGAGGAGGGGTCAAGCAGGCAGGGACTATGCCAACATGGAGCTAGAACCCCAGGGAGGGACTGGGGACAAGGAGAGGAGCCACGCTCAGGTAGAAACTCCCAGGGCCCTTCACAGAGCCTTGGAGGAACATTCAACACCCCCATCTCTAGGAAGCCCCAGCCCTGTCATCCTCCACTTGGCCATGGCAACGTGGGGACTGGAGCAGTGAGATTGTTAGGCCTTCAGGGTCAGTGTCTCCATGCAGGTCAGACAGAGGCAGTGCCTGGCACATATACCACCTCACTGCTCATGCCCACAGAAGATCATAGGTGGCTTTTGGGGCTAGCTGGTTGAAGTTCCATCTTTCTATAGGCTGACAGCTAATCCCTTGAGCTCCACGTGGTTTTTTTTGTTTTGTTTTGTTTTGTTTCTTTTGAGATGGAATCTCATTCCGTCACCCAGGCTGAAGTGCAGTGGCACGATCTGAGCTCACTGCAGCCTCTGCCTCCCAGGTTCGAGCAATTCTTCTGCCTCAGCCTCCCTAGTAGCTGGGATTAAAGATGCCTGCTGCCACACCTGGCTAATTTTTGTATTTTTGGTAGAGTTGGGGTTTCACCATGTTTGCCAGGCTGATCTCAAACTCCTGATCTCATGTGATCCGCCTGCGTTGGCCTCCCAAAGTGCTGGGATTGCAGGTGTGAACCACCGCTCCTGTCATCCTCACATGTTTTGGTGGCCTTGGCTGCTGCTGGGTGGGGTGGGCCCCAGGAGGAAGTTGGGACAAGTCAACTTCATGTCAGAGGTGCCAGGGAGAGCTGCAGGTAAGAAAGATTGCTCCTGTCCAGGTGTCCTTGATGCGGGAGGACTCAGTCTGTCCAGCACATCCTTTCATGGAGGTTGGCTGTGTGATACTTGGCTTTAAGTGAACCAGCATTTCATGAGTCCAGCCGTGTGTTAGACCAGCACTTGGGATTGAGGGAGGCAGTGGCCACCCTCAGGGGACCTTCTGACTCAGAGGACATGAGATAGCCACACGCGAGCACTGTGTGCCTGACCTATCTGGGTCCCAGGTCACCTTGATGATTGGAAGAAAGTCTAGACCTTCCTTCCAGAGAAAAGCCTACAGCATTCTACTAAGGGTTCTTGGAGCCCTGAAGTCCCCCCATGAAGTGGCTCTGGGAGCCCATGGCGCTGAGTATGGGGGCGTGAGTTGAACTTGGGGGCTGCAGGTCGGTGGGGAGAGTGTTTCCAGCTGCTTGTCTGCCGTGCTAGGGATGCCTGTTCTGATGGGGAGGCCCAGGTTGGGAGAGGGAGCGCCCTCCGGGAAGGCCAGCAGGGTGGCACCTCAAAGCGGATGCCCTTTTTCTCAGCAGAGAAGGATGGTGTCCAAGACGTCTCCAGAGGCTCAGGCTTGTGCCTGGGTGGGGTTGGCCCATGGGAGACTGTGATAAAGCTGGGCAGACAGAGTGTGGGCGGGGTCTTGGGGATGAGCACCCCTTCTCTCAGCAACCTCCTCATCCCCAAAACCCCACCCACACTCTGCCCAGAGGAATATCTTCCAGGGACGTCTGCCTGGAAAGGCACCGGACCAGCTGCCTAGCCTCAGCCCTCCACCCGAGGTCAACAGCTTCAGCCTTTTACCAAGAAGTACCCAGAATTGAGCCCCTGCACCCGGTGGCCTGTGGTGTGTCGGGGAGAGGTGGCAAGAGGTTGGGCTGTATGGAACCTTCTGGCCTCACCTTGGCTTTGCTTTCTGCCTCTCCAGCGTGCCTTGTTCCTCAGCTGGAAACATCACAGGGGCAAGCAGACTGAGCTGTCCCCAGAGGCCAGGAGCAATTGAGGCGAGGGGAACCACGCCACGCCACTGGTCTAGCCTGGCCTGCTCCTGTGTTGATGGACATAGGTCACAGGGAAAGATGCTTATGTGATAAATCATCACGCCGCCCCCCCCCGGCCCCCACCCCCACCCCGCCTTGCAGCCTGTGGTTTCTGAACGAGGAGGTCACAGGCACAAGCTGTTGCCTGTGGAGTTCCTCAACCTGCCCCATCGGGCCTCTTTCCCCACAGATCTCCCGCATGGATCCCCACAGATGGTACGGAGGGATATCGGGCTCTCGGTGACGCACAGGTAGGCACAGCAGGCCTGCGTGGGGAGTAGGGCACAGAGCTGGGCTGGAACCCACGTGGGGCTGGGAGTTCTGGTCACTGTTTCTCAGTGAGCTCTTTGCCTCTGATGCCTGTCCGTCTCCTCTGTGGGGCGTGGCCCTGCACTCACCTGAGCCCTCGCCTTGCCAGGGTGGACATGCAGACTTCCAGCTCCCTCACCTGCACCTCCCCGGGTCTCTTCCTCACTCTGCTAGGGAAAGCACTTTCCCCCTTTCTACGGACACGGGTCCCGGGAGAAATAGGGTCAGGGCCATGGGAAGGAATCGCAAGAGCTTCCCTTGCATCCAGTGCAATGTCATGTGTGTCCTGAAACTCACACAGCAGATCCCCTGTGGAGCTTGCTGAAAATCCAGATTCCCAGGCCCCACCCCTAAGTTTCTAGCTCTCCTCACCCCGTGTTGACATGAGAAGTAATTAAAACCCAGTGAGGGAGACAGCACGTGTGCACGTGTGAGCCTACACAGACCTGGTTGCCTCTCAGGGAGGCCAGATCGCGTCTCCTTAAAATGCACTCCATGCAGGTGGGCGTCCCTGGCCACCAGAAGCTCCCATCTTTGTTGGGTGGAGAAAGTAACATTTATGGATCTCTGCTACATTCCATTTACATGGCGTGTCTGTGATCTTCCCCAAATCCTGTGAGGCCTAGGGTTGACCCTATTTACAGAGGCATCCAAGGCATCTTACAGCCGGTAGTAGGCTGAAGGCAGAATTCAAACCCAGTTGTTTGCCCCCAGAGCCTGTTCTCTTTCTCTTGTGCTCAAGGCCGCCTTTGGCCTCTCCTGGACCAGTGGAGTCTCTTAGAGAAGCTCTGTAACTCTGAGTTCAGAGAGCTGGGATCCAGACCCTGGCATCCCAGCTGTGTGACCTTGGAAACATCGCCTGACCTCTCTGAGCTGGTTTCCTTGCCTGTGCACAGGAATCCTGGACTTGCCTCACTCCCTGGCATGGGCATAAGAATGAAATGAGCTTGTGTTGGCGGGTGCGTTACAAACTGCTTCCCAAATACTGTTGGCATTCATTCTGTTGTTACTGTGATATACAATATGTTTAAAAAATTCTATTTTTCCAAAAATAAGAGCTGGTCCACCCTATGGACCAGCCTTGCACTTTTTTTCTGGAGGACACCACCCACTCAGCCCCCATCCTTCTTCAAATCTATCTTTGGTGGGTTTTTTTAATGTTCTGCATTTTGGATTGAAAGTACACTGAAACATCAACGGAAAATTCCCCTTTTGTTCTTGTCCCCAACTCCTCAATCCCCTCTGTAAAGAACTCTTAGCTGTGTGTTATGTAGTCTTCTAGAGATGTTTTATACAAACACATATGTGTATATGTTTTCTCCTATCTATCTGTCTGTCTATTTATTTTTGAGATGGAGTCTCACTCTGTCACCAGGCTGGAGTGCAGTGGAGCAATCTCGGCTCACTGCAACCTCCGCCTCCCAGGTTCAAGCAATTCTGCTGCCTCAGCCTCCTGAATAGCTGGAATTACAAGAGCTTGCCACCATGCCCAGCTAATTTTTGTATTTTTGGTAGAGACGGGATTTCACCATGTTGGCCAGGATGGTCTCGATCTCTTGACCTCATGATCCACCCACCTTGGCCTCCCAAAGTGCTGGGATCACAGGCGTTCTCCTTTATTTTGTACTCAACTACTGCATATGTTATATACAATCCTATACTTTGCTTTTTCAAAAATGGAGACACAATTTATATGGAGCAAAATGCACAAGTGTGTGTATGTAGTTGTGCACTCACACACCTGTGTATACCATCCAGATGAAGATGGAGAACATTCCAGCACCCAGAAAGTTACCTTTAGTTCTTCCTTGTCAGTGCTGCTACCACCCAGCGGTTACCATTCACTTCCAGCGTCGTAGCTTAGTTTTCTCCCTGCTTGAACTGCCTGTGGATGGGATCATATCCTATTGTACCTTACTTTTTTAACTGGACAATAGCACTTGGAGGTCATTCCATATTTGCACAGAAACAGCTTCCTTATTTTAGTTTCCTGCTGCATAGAGTTCATTGGATGGAAAGACCATACTTTAGTCAGCCCCTCTCAATGGACGCGTAGGTTATTTCCAGCCTTTATCCTGCTTACATGCTACAGGCCTACCTTGTCCGTATACCCTTTGACACTTGTGGGCCTATGTGTTGAGTAAATTCCTAAGAATTTCCAAGAACTGTTGGGTCAAAGGGTATGCACACTTGGACTCTTGATTGCTGCTGCCAAATGGGTACTCTCAGATGACCACACCAAATTCAGTATGTTGACAATGATGACTTTGCACCTGGGAAACCTACATGGCCCCTGGGTGTCCCTGTCCTCCCCCGGTGGGAGAGGGCCCATGGGGCTCTGGGGTGGAGCCAAGACTCCCAGTTTCCCTGGAACCCCATGGGAACCCTTCTTGGCTAGGCCTTGGCCTCCCAGCCGGTGCGAGCATGTGCCCGTGTCCGCCCCTGCAGGTTCTCCACCAAGTCCTGGCTGTCGCAGGTCTGCCACGTGTGCCAGAAGAGCATGATATTTGGAGTGAAGTGCAAGCATTGCAGGTGATGGGCAGACGGGTGGGGGTGTGGGGAGCAAGTGAGAGTTCAAACGCATTTCCCTACCCTCGCTATTCATAGTCCTATTCAGCTCACCAGGCAATGATCAGGCTTTAATTGCAGGGAAATGAAGCCTGGAAGAAGGGAATACTTGAGGTGGGCTTTGAAGGACAAATAGAAATTTACAAGGTCGACCAAGGGGGAGAGAGAAGTCCAGGCCACAGGAGCGACTTGTACTAAGGCCCGGAGGAATTTGAGGACTGTTCTGGGACCTGTAAGGAACTCTGAAGTTTAGCCTTATATTTTATAGCCCTCGAGAGGTGGGAGACAGGTGATGGTAAAAACAGGGAGTTAGCTTGCAGAAGGGGAGAGTGAGCGGAGGTAGGTACTATACAAGTCCAGCTTTATTTTCTGATGCTTTGTGGCTTCTGGTGGGAAGGAAGGGCAAGGATAGGGAACAGCGTGGGGTGAGCAGAGTGTGTCCTCTGCTGTCCGGCTGCCCTCACCTGATGCAGGGTGGCGTTGGGGACTCAGCCCAGCCCACTCTGCCCCTGGATTGCTGTGTGACCTGGGGCAAGACACTTGCCCTCTCTGGGCCTGATTTTGAATATCTCCATCAGAGCTGTGGGGATAGCTCTGAGAACCTGAGCTAGTAAGTGTGATTGCATCTGGGCTCCAGTCAGACTGCAGGTGGTGGGTCTTGTGCATATCAGTTGGACCTGTTACTTTCCCAGTAACTCTCCTGACCTCTAGGGAGATGCTGAGTTTTCTCTCTGGTCTGGGTCTCCTGTGGCTCCTGCCACTTGGCTTTATGTTAGGGACCTCCAGCTTCCATTCAAATAATGTCTTTCCTGTGGAGAGCACAGGATGACCTCTGAGCCCAAGGCTGTCCTGTGATGTAGTATGAGGTGGACAGGACACCCCCAACCCATTAGTGAGAAATCTAAGACTCGGTGCAACAGACAGGACCACCTGGTACTGACCCTCAGACCGCATGGTCCATTGCACAAATGTAGCAGGAGGGGCCGCCCTTTGGGTCCCTGGGATCTTTTGGTAAAGCAAACATTCTTGGTCCAATTCATCTTTTTTTTTTTTTTGAAATGGAGTCTCGCTCTGTCACCCAGGCTGGAGGTACAGTGGCGTAATCTTGGCTCACTGCAACTTCTGCGACGTTGGTTCAAGCAATTCTGCTGCCCCAGCCTCCCGAGTAGCTGGAATTATAGGAGTGTACCACCATACTCAGCTAATTTTTGTATTTTTAGTAGAGGTGGAGTTTCACCGTGTTGGTCAGGCTGGTCTTGAACTCCTGACCTTGTGATCCACCTGCCTCAGCCTCTGAAAGTGCTGAGATTACAAGTGTGAGCTACCACACCAATCCTTCCTTTTTTTTTTTTTTTTTTTTTTTTTTGCAAGTTCAAGTTTGTCTTGAGCTTTTTCAGTATGGGTAGAAGGTCTCCTTTTCTTTACAAAAGGCAAATAGATAGGTGACCTGGGCAAGTCACAGTGGGCACCATGAGACCCACTTTGCCGTGAGGATGGGTAGATGGCAGCAGAATGTGGTAAATGCTCAGCATAGCAGCTCAGTGTAGCAGCTGCTATGACTATTAATATCACAGTGTTCTCTACTTTCGAGCTAACATTTGTTGAAAAGTTTGTGGAAATGGAGACAGTCCTGGGTGAATGCTACACAGAGCTGCCCCTGTGTGCCCGAGCCCCCCACGTGGTGCCCTGCACCCTAACCTCCCCTTCTTTACCAGGTTGAAGTGTCACAACAAATGCACCAAAGAAGCTCCTGCGTGTAGAATATCCTTCCTGCCACGTGAGTCTGCTGCCTTCCTCTCCTCTGCCTTCTGGATTTGGGGTGAATCTTTCTTTAGCTTGACCTGGTGATGGATTTTCCCTCTCTTCAAACAGTAACTCGGCTTCGGAGGACAGAATCCGTTCCCTCGGACATCAACAACCCAGTGGACAGAGCAGCCGAACCCCACTTTGGAACCCTCCCCAAAGCACTGACAAAGAAGGTACGCCGGGTAATGCTGGGGAGTACCCCCTTCACCACTGGACTTCCTCCCTATAAAGCGCCTCTGCCTCAGAGGCTGTGGGGAAGTAGTACGTGACACCCCAGTCCCGGATTCATAGCCAGAGGGTGGCCTTGGGGATCATATCTTGAGCCATCAAGAGGCTTCCCTTTTCTATCAAGTGGTGGTGCAGCCGTGATTCCCAGCCCCTTCTCGTTGGAGCTAACACTTCCTGTGTACTTAGTGTGTACTGGGAGCTTCTTCCCTTGCCGTTTTGTTTGAGCCCCGCAGTAGTTCTGAAGGGCACATGCTGATCCATTTCACAGATGAGAAAATAGCACAGCATTCCGTGAGAGCAAGAGACAAACCTAGAGTGGGAACCTCGGCAGCCGCCCAGCCCGAAAACCTGGGGCCCTTAGTCACAGCGCAGCAGGTATACCTCCAGTTGTTCCTTAAAGCGATTGCCATGGCCACCACTGAACAAGGCTCTGCTCCTCTCCCAGGAATGCACCCAAAAGTAATACCAAGAGTGCGTTTCCCTCCGTAGCCACGTCAGGCTTCTCTGCTGAGGCAGACGGGTGTCCTCTGCAGCTAGACGAGTCCACAAAGCCTGTGTCCCCCAGGAGGGTCAGCACACCTGTCATAGGCCTCTATGCACGGGTGTCCCTTGCGCCTAGGAGGTGCCAGTGCTGATGGCTTCTGACAGCAGCTCCCATCCTGGCCGGCTGCAGGCTGCTGTGGGTTTGGCTGTGTATTTTTTTTCTTTTTTTTGGAGACAGAGTTTCACTCATTGCCCTGGCTGGAGTGCAGTAGTGTGATCTCGGCTCACTGCAACCTCCACCTCCCGGGTTCAAGCAATTCTCCTGCCTCAGCCTCCTGAGTAACTGAGATTACAGGCATGCACCACCACGCCTGGCTAATTTTTTTTTTTTTGTATTTTTAGTAGAGATGGGGTGTCTCCATGTTGGTCAGACTGGTCTCAAACTCCCGATCTCAGGTGATCCACCTGCCTCGGCCTCCCAAAGTGCTGGGATTACAGGTGTGAGCACTGCAGCCATCTTGGCTGTGTATTTTTAAGTGTGTTTTACCTGCAGCCCCAGACCAGGGGCTTAGTGTGTGCCTCCCTGGTGAGGAACGTGTACCCAGCTGCTCTGTGGCTATGGCTGGCCTTCAGTGGCTCAGGCCAAGAGAGAGAGAGACAAGTGATATGGCCAATTCACACTGGGGACCCTGAAGGTACAGCTTCAGGGGCTGCCCTTGGAGGGGCCAGAGCCACCTCTTATAGTCAAACAAGAAGGCCAGCTGCCCTAGGCCTGACAGTCTCCACCAACCTGTGCCTGTCCTCTCTCTTGCCTCTGGTGGTGGCTTCCCACTCGGAATGGGGAGGCAGTGGGGAAAGATGATAGGGTCCTTTCTTACTCTGTTCTGGCTACCATAACAAAATATCCTAGACTGGGTGGCTTAAAAGCAACGGAACTTTGTTTTTCCCAGTTCTGGAGGCTGGGAAGTTCAAGATCAAGGTGCCAGCAGACTTGATGGCTTGGAAAGGGCCACCTTCTCACAGATGTCACTCGTGCCACACCCCCCTGTGGTGGAGGGGTCCAGCAAGCTCCCTCAGGTCCTTTCATAAGGGCACCGGTCCCCATTCCTGAGGGCTCTGCCCCGATGACCCAGTTACGCAGCTCCCAGTACCACCTTCTTGGGCGCTAGGGTTTCAGCCTGTGAGCAGTGGGGGTGCACAGTCATTCAGACCACAGCAGCTGCCCAGCCCTGGCTCTGAGTCCCAACTCCTCTCCTGCTTCCATGACCTTGAGTGAGCCACTTGACCTCTCTGGGCCTCACGTTCTGCTTTGTAAGTTGGGGTTACTAATGCCTCATTCACAGGTGTTTGAAGGGTGAAGAGAAAATGTTCATGAACTTGTAGGGAGCAGTACCATACCATCCAGTAGCTATTATTTTCCAGCCCGTCACAGACTGGATCAGCTCCTCAGCAGGAACACAGCGCCCCCACCCTCATTGCCAACAATGTCATCATTGCCCCTACCTCTCCTCTCCAGCTACACCAAGCACAGCCCCCAACCCCATGGGGCCTGCATGACTCCCTGCCCCGTCATGTTCACCCCTGCATCTCCACCCACCTGGACACCCCTCTCAGCCCTCCTCACAGCTCAAGACTCTCTCTCTGTCCCACCTCCCCCATGAGCCCCTCCTGTGTGTACCTGCTCGGCTTCTAAGCCCATACGGTGGTGGTGCCAAAGGCCTCTCATCTCGGAGAGCAGTGGCCCTCCAGGATCCTGTTTAAGGTCACTATGATGACACGAGCTAACCGTTACTGAGTTCTCACTAGAGGCCACACACGGTGCTGAGAGGTCAGATCCTAACATAGAATCCCCCTGGAGCCCTCTCTCTGTTGGTCCTTCGGCCTTGCTGGGACTCAGACTTCTGGGTGATCCTAGTTAGCTGGTCTGCAAAAGAATGTGGAACAAGCATGTATGAGTCACCTGCCGAGTACCACACACTCCCACCTTTGCGATGCTGCTGATCTGTGCAGTAACCCTCTGGCAGAGGTGTTGATGTTTTCATTTTGTGGTTGAAGAAATAGAAACTCAGAGAGGTGGAGGAAGTTGCCTGCAGTCCCCCAGCTAAGCGGTGCTGGAAGCTGCCTGAGAATTCCAGTCTGTCTGTCTCCAAGCCCAGTGCTCTTTCTTCTTGGCCACAGAGAGAAGCTGGGCTGGAGCTTCGGCCTCTCTCCCTGCCCCCCACTTTCTCCCTTCACCCCCCCCTTTTCCCATTTCTGGTGCAGCAGCCCTCCCTGCCCCAGGGCTCTCTAGCACCTGCTCTCACAGGCTCTTGCTCGGAGCTGTGAGATTCTGGTACCGTCCTCAGAGGTCTCCTGTGTGCTGTAGCTGGGGAGCCATGGCCAGAAGGCATCCCAGAGCCGGGCTCCTGCCACGCCCATCTCCCGTGACCCTGGGCAAAGCCCTTGGCTTCCTTGGGCCTGGCTCCCCTGAGCTCTGCAGTGGGGCCACGGTGGCATCTGGTGTGAGTTGACACCAGAATCAGTGCTGCCCAAACTTCATCAAACTGCAAACCATCTTTATGGTTTCTGTCTTAACCAGGTACCACCAGGGCTAATATTTACTTATAAGACTCATTTGATGTAATCATCACTATCATAATTGGAAAAATGATCACTCCAGATAGAAGGTAATCATTAAAGCAAGCACAGTTAAAACCAAAAAGTTATTAAGCTTCATCTTGATATCACACTTGCTTAAGGCTTGGAGCTTGAAGCTCACTCTGTTGAATGGGTGATGAGCCAGTGTTAGAGAGGTGTTAAAGACATAGCAGCTCAGGCTGAGGCCTTCTCTCACGCAGAACAAGACACGGAACAGAGCATCCTCCTTCCTGGCTCGGCGTCCTCTGTGTTGTGTCTGAGGGCCTCCTAAAGGCATCTCACTGACCACCAAACCTGTGTTTCCCATGGCAGGCACCAGCGGATGCAATCCATTAGCAGGGGGAACCATGCTTGCTTTGAGTGCGGAAGGGATGACATTCCCATTTAAGTTGGGACAATATGAGGGAACCAGGCCTGTCCTGACAAACCAGCTCCTGTGGTCATCTTCTAGAAAGTTCTTTCCAGCTCCAGAATTCTCACCCCTCCGAAATGGCAGACCGCACTAGCCCAAGCCATCCATCGCCTCTTTAAGGGTTTTGTAGTTTGACTCTAAGACTTGCCAGTGCCTTTGATTAAGCCAGGTTTCCAAAGAAAAGGACTGTATGCTTCTCACTCTGCCTCCCTGCTTCTAGCAGAGTGCCTGGTGCTAGCAGACAGGACATAACATTTGTCAGAGCCTGAACTTAATTCATTATAAAACCCCACTGTGTGCCCGGCCCAGAGCCAGGCACTGGGGGTGTGGTGAGCGCCCTGGCCTCCTGGAACATACAAGGCAGTGAGGGAGACTTTGGTCAGGAAGGCGCCCATGGATGTCTGCGGTAGACACAGTACCCAGATGAAAAACTGCTGGGCACTGTGCCAGGATGGAGAGGAGGAGCATGGTCCCAGCCAGGGTACAGGAAAAGCTTCTGGGAAGAGAGCGTGCTTGGGCTGAAAACAAAGATGAGCAGGAGCCCCCTGGGGAGTGGGCACTGAGGCCAGGGCCTCTGTGTGCTGCCCTTCCGCAATTAGATGCATAAAACATCAGACCCTGAGGATTCCCTGGGCTGACCGCTTCCTTTCCAGATGGGGCAGGGAGGGCGTGGCTGGTGGGAGGCAGGTGGGGCAGCAACAGCCCTGCCACTCCCAACGTCTCTGGTCCTGCAGGAGCACCCTCCGGCCATGAATCACCTGGACTCCAGCAGCAACCCTTCCTCCACCACCTCCTCCACACCCTCCTCGCCAGCGCCCTTCCCGACATCATCCAACCCATCCAGTGCCACCACGCCCCCCAACCCCTCACCTGGCCAGCGGGACAGCAGGTTCAACTTCCCAGGTACCACATCTCCAGGCTTTTCTGGGTTCTTAGGGGTGCGGTCAGATCCCCTTCTCAGCAGACCCAAGGTCCACAGGTTCAAGGTCCGACATTGGCCGGATGTTAATGGAGTGCTTGCCAGGTGCCCCAAGCATAATGGCTCTGAGGTTGATGCTGTTGATTTAGAGATGAGAACTGTGAGATTCAGCGAGAGGGAGGCACTTGCCGTGAGTTGTACAGCCTGTAAGTGGCAGAGTAGAGATCAAACCCAAGTCGGTCTGACATGACAATCCCCCCGCTGCCCTCCTCTTCGTGGGGTGTCCTCTCCTGAGCAATGCTTACTTTCTCGGGACTGGTTTCTGAGCTCCCAGGAGGCATGGGTGGCAACGCAGGGAGCTAGAGGGCCGCAGAGAGGGAATCTGGGGCCCTGCTGCTTCCCACTCGTGATCTGGGTCAGTTCCTTCAAGGAGACCTCTTGTTCTTTTTTCATAAGTTAGGAGACTGCGTAAAGTTGGAATTAGGTGGTTTCCGTTGTGTGGACGAGGACATCGAGTCCCACAGGAATTTAGAGCACAGTAGATTTGAGCCAGAGCTGACCTCCAGCTCCACCCCAGCACGCTGCCTGGTGTCTATGGGAAGGGGTCAGGATTCTAGCCTCTCTTACCCTCAGCTGCTGGTTGGGCCTGGGGTGTCTGCCTCTCCAAGCAGCAGAGGGAAGCCCACCTGTCCAATCTGGGACCGAGCTGCTGCCTTGGCCTCTCTGGCAGCTCCTCAGAGTCAGTCTCAGCCTTCAGTTTCCTGCAGTTTGCAGTCCCAGAGGAAGGAGGATGGCTGTGACACTTCTGTTTGCTCCAGACCCAGCCACCGGCTGTCTCCAGCCAGTAGAGTCTAGGCCAGGTCCCTGTCTCTGGCCTCTGGAGCCCCAGGTTCATGAGGACAGTCACAGCTCTCCCTTTGCCAGGGGAGCCCCACCTGGAGGCATACCCAGCCATCATGGGGCCAGGCAGCTTCTCCTGGGATGACTTTTGGGGGATGGTGAGAGACCGAGCTCTTGTAGGAAACCTTCTCTTTGCCTGTCCTTCGCCTCAGTAAGCACGTGGCTGGATATCTCCTGACATTCACACGTTGTCCTGGCACGCCCCTCCCCTCCCTGCCTTGAGCGATGGCCTGTTTGATTAACTGCCTCTCCCTTTCTTCTCTCTTTATTATGCTCTGAAACTGTGCCTTTTGCTAAACCTCCCAGTTTGGGTTTTTGTAAAAGGAAGGGTGTGTTTGAAACACGGCAGCCGCAGAGAAAGTTCTTTTTGCGCTATTAGCCAGACCCTTGTTGCTTTCCCTGATATCCCCGGACTGGGCTTCATTGTCCCTTGCACAGAAGTTTCACTCTCTCCAAGATCCTATCTCTTTGGTCATGGCGGCACCAACAGGTCAACCCTCCCCAACCCCACTGCCCGCCGCGCTGGCCCGGTGGTTCAGCTGGAGAAGGAATGTCTCCCATTGTCCCCTGCTCTGTGCTGTGCAGGGGCATTGCACTTGATCTTCAGGGGTGAACCTGGGAAAAGATGATAGTCACATGCTGCTTCATGACAGGGAAACATTCTGAGAGATGCATTTGATGATTTCACTGTTAAGTGAGCATCATAGAGTGTGCTTATACAAACCCAGGTGCTATAGTCCTCCACATGCCTAGGAGTGGCTGTAGCCTATTGTTTCTAGGCTGCAAACCTATGCAGCATGTGACCATACTGAATATTATAGGCAATTGTAGCACAATGCTAAATACTTGTGTATCTAAACATCTGAACACAGAAAAGCTGCAGTAAAAATACAGCATAAAATATTAAATATAGGGCTGGGCACAGTGGCTCATGCCTGTAATTTCAGCATGTTGGGGGGCCAAGGTAGGCACATCACTTGAGGCCAGGAGTTCAAGACCAGCCTAGCCAACATGGCGAAACTCCACCTCTACTAAAAATACAAAAATTAGCCAGGTGTGGTAGCTCACACCTGAAGTCCCAGCTACTCAGGAGGCTGAGGCACGAGAAATGCTTGAACCCAGGAGGTGGAGGTTGCAGTGAGCTGAGATTGCACCACTGCACTCCGGCCCGGGCGGCAAAGCAAGACTGTGTCTCTAACTAACTAACTAAATAAAATGTTATTTGTTTGTAGGGGACTAGACGCTGTGGGTGAGTCAGTGAGTGAATGATGTGTTTATAAAGTCGACAATAATGTACAGGAATTCCTGGCATTTATTAACCGCCTCTCCCATTCTGATCTGTCTTTATTATGCTCTGAAACTGTGCCTTTTGCTAAACTTCCCAGTTTGGGTTTTTGTAAAAGGAAGGGTGTGTTTGAAACACGGCAGCCGCAGAGAAAGTTCTTTGTGCACTATTAGCCAGACCCTTGCTGCTTTCACTGATGTCCCCAGACTGGGCTTCATGTCCCCTGCACAGAGGCCTCACTCTCCAGGAATTCCTGTACGCTATTGTAGACTTTATAAACACCACATACTTAGGCTACATGAAATTTATTTTAAAATATTTTCTTCAGTAATTAACTTTAGCTCACAACTTTTTTACATTATAATCTTAAAAAGCTTGTTTTTAACTCTTAGGCTCTTGTAATAACACTTAGCTCGGAACACAAACACATTGTATAGCTGTACAAAAACATTTTACTTTGAATTTTTATAAGCTTTTTTCTATCTTTAAAATTCGTATTATTTTTTTCCTTGGAAAGCTCTTTTGTTAACTAAGACACACCCCCCAGCCTAGGCCTGTGCAGTGTCAGGCTCACTGCATCACTGTCTTCCACCTCCGCACCTTGTCCTGCTGGAAGGCCTTACGGGCAGTGACATACGTGGAGCTGGCATCTCCTGTGATAACAGCGCCTTCTTCTGGATACATCCTGAGGGACCCGCCTGAGGCAACAGATAACTTTTTTTTTTTTTTTTTTTTTTTTTTTTTTTTGTAAGTAGAACAAGTATGTTCTAAAATCATGATTAAAAGGCCAGGTGCGGTGGCTCACGCCTGTAATCTCAGCACTTTGGGAGGCTGAGGTGGGCGGATCACCTGAGATCAGGAGTTCTAGACCAGCCTGGCCAACATAGTGAAACCACGTCTCTACTAAAAAAAAAAAAACAAAAATTAGCCAGGCATGCTGGTGTGTGCCTGTAATCCCAGCTACTCAGGAGGCCGAGGCAGGCAACTCGCTTGAACCCAGGGGGCGGAGGTTGCAGTAAACCGAGATCCTACCATGTCACTCCGGCCTGGGCAACAGGGCGAGCCACCATCTCAATAAGGGAATGAATAAATGAATGAATGAATGGGCAACAGGGAGAGCCTCCATCTCAATCAGTCAATCAAATTAAAATAATGATTAAAAGTACAATATAGTAAACACATAAACCAGTGATATAGCTGTTTATTCTCACTATCAAGTCAGATGCTCCTGCGCGTCATCGTGCGTGCTACCCTCCTTTTCCACAGCTTGTAGAGCCGGGGTTATCTCCCGCCAGCATCACTGCAGACGCGAGGAATGCACGGCGCTGCCCTGTTACCACAGCTACCACATCGCTAGGCGAGAGGAATTTTCCCACTCTGTTGTGATCAGGACCACCATCGTGTACGTGGTCCCTTGTTAACCAAAACAACGTTCTGCGGCACATGACTGTATTTACAACCCCATTTGACAGTGCTGGAGACGTTAGCCACCTCCCTAAGGTCCCAGAGCCTAGTTATGTGGCAGAATTGAGGCTGCAGCATGCTGTCAGCTTCCAGAACCCCACTGCATCCCTCTCAGTTCCCTACATGAGAAAAGAACAGTGTGGGAGGGAGCGGTAAGGCTGAGACACTCTGGAGCAGGCGTCCCCAAACTTTTTACACAGGGGGCCAGTTCACTGTCCTCAGACCGTTGGAGGGCCGCCACATACTGTGCTCCTCTCACTGACCACCAATGAAAGAGGTGCCCCTTCCTGAAGTGCGGTGGGGGGCCGGATAAATGGCCTCAGGGGGCCGCATGCGGCCCGCGGGCCGTAGTTTGGGGACGCCTGCTCTGGAGGTACAGGTGGGGCTCGGGAGGAGGCCATTCTTCTGCACATAGCACTGTTAAACTTTTCAGAAATACTGTTTCTCTCCCATTACACTTTGCCCTTCTGGGCTCACATGGATTTCACAGAGCGCTGGTCACCAGAGACGGGGTCTTGGAATGCCCGATCCTCCAGTGCAAGCCCCTTTAGTCCTGCGGACTCCTACCAGGGCCCATTTTCTTTCTCCCAGCTCTTTTCCTCCTTCCTGCATGGTTTGGCCTGTCCTTGCCGGGCCCATCTGGGGCAGGGCTGTCCCAGCCCAGTAACAAGTCCCTGTCTCCCAAGCCGGTGTCTGCAATTCCGCTCCTCCCTCCTGCCTTGGCCGTTCTGTGTGTGTGACTCACCTCCTCTTCTGTTTAAAGCTGCCTACTTCATTCATCATAGACAGCAGTTTATCTTTCCAGGTGAGTCCTTTGCATGGTTCCATTAACTGCCCCTTGCTGTGACCCCTTCTGTCCAGCCCACCTGAGTACCTTTGGAAGTGCTTGAGTCTCCCTCCACCTGTTCTGAGAGCTGGCTGCCCATGGAGGATGGGAAGGGGGCAGGGCAAGTGCCCTGGAGGTGGGCCTCTGACATGAGAAGTTCTTGCTGGGAGGGACCCTGGAATCCATCCCATCCAGCCTCTTGGCACAGAGACTGCAGGTGACTTCTCTCAAAGTCACACTGCCAGGAGATGGCACAAGCAGGACTAGAACCTGGGTTTATGGAATTGGGGGAAGACTTTTTGCTATTGCCCAATGAGCATCTGTCACCATATCCTCCCTTGCACAATGATGGGAAACTACTGCCTTGTCTTACAGAAGTGGAAACCCATTTGGGAAGTTCTGCAGGCTTCGCTTACTTAGTGGGCGTCGCCTTTCTGTGCCTGACCCCACAGTGCCATCTGCTGGCTGTTGCTGGAAATGCCTCCTTATTGCAGAAAGTTGAAAGGAAAAACCTTACAATAAGTCAATCCATTGAGTTCTTTCTGCAAAAATGGTTTTGTACATTTACTGTGTACCAGCCTTTTCATTCCTGCCCCTAAAGTGTTTGAGATCAGTGGTTTTTTTTCTGTAACTGATGGTAATGAGAATAGCGGTGTTTAAGACAAAGACTGTAGCTGGTGTTTTCTTGGCTTGGACAAGACTGTCTTGAGTCACAGTATTTTGGTTACTCCAGGCTTTTCTGTTCCTCAGCCAGCTCCATTAGGGGGCTGACTTGCAGCATCTGTGAGTCCTTAGAGACCGTCCCTATGGCATTGCTCGGGTGTGTGCAGGGCCGCGGTCAGGGGCCTGCGAACCCGCCCCAGGAGGCTTCCTCTGAGTAGCTGGGCAGCCTCTGCAGTTTCACCCCTGTTTTTTTGTTGTGGTCCCCTGGTTACTAGCTCTAGGATGCACACAGGGGTTACCCCAAAACATTGGGACGACATGGGTCTTCTCCCAGAAGAGCAGTTTTTCCATTTTCCTCTGAAGGTATGTCATGGGGAGGGCAAGGAAATATTTCTATTGAAGCAAACATGGGCACATTTTGGAGCAGAATGTATGGTACACTCCTAACTTTTGGGACTTCAGATTCAGAGGCATTTTGCCTTCCCTCTTGGGGTGCAGTTCCTCCCCAAGCCCCCCGCTTCCTGCTTCCCTCATGCCTTTGGCATGTGTTTGCCTTCTGTGGAACATTCGAGCCGTGTTGCCTGGGTGGAAAGGCCAGGCCCCCGCTGATAGTCTGCAGACACACTGTGTCTGGGGGAGGCCTTGTACGTGCAGGTTTCTAAGGTTCTGAGCCCCAGAAATTGTGCATGGGATGTTGGGCATACGTGTGCATTTCCCTGATAGGAAGGCCCGCTGCCTCTATCAGATTCTCCAAATCCGTGAGGTTCCAGAGATGTCACAGCCTATGGTTCAGATGACCTTCAAAGGCAGAAGAAAGCCCTAGCAGAAGGTCGAGGGAGGTCTTTGTCCACACGGGCAGGAGAGAGGCCTCTGATAGCTCCAGCCACCGCCACTGCCAGTCTCTGTTTTTGCAGAAGGAGCGGGGAGTGAGCGGCCCATGACGGCCCTGGGACCACCAATCTCCCTGTAGCACTTGGTTCCATGCTGGAGTAACTCAGTTTTGGTGTCCCTGGACGTGGGACTTGCAGTGCTAAACTGGGAACGCCCCAGGCTCAGCGGTCAGCCCCAGCTGCCCACTTTGGGCCCCTGATATGTGGAGTTTCCCCCCTCCCCTGAGAGCTGCTCCACAGTGACCCATACCCAGAAGCCGAGGGGTTGGGGCCTTGGTGCTGGAAATCCCCAGCAGCTGCTCCGGGCACCAGGTGTCGCTAATGAGCCACCTGCACGTCCTGCCACAGCCTTGCTGGCCAAAGTGAGGGAGTCTCATTACTTTCAAGGGTTGTCACAAGCAGTCCTGGCCTGCAAACCGGAGCAGCTTCAGCCGCCTGTCCAGTAAATGAGACCCCAGTTTGCTTTTACCACTTGCTTGTGTGGGGCAGTTTGGCCACCGGGGAGTGGTGGTCATGAGAAGTCTCACCCCACCACCCGCCCCGAGCTCCTTCCTGAGACAGAGCTCTGTATGCAGAAGCAGGAGCTGTGGAGGCTGCATGCTTGCAAGGTCCATGGAACGGCACAGGCTAGTCCTTGTGGAAGTGCCGGGGGAACACCAGGCAGCCCGCTCAGGGAGAATCAACCTCTCTGGGGCGCTGGGTTTGAGCGTGGTGTCTCTTTGAGGAAGGAAGCGATCTCATGCTATGCGTTTGCTTTGTGTTTCCTCCAGACATTTCGGCCTTTGCACAGGCAGCCCCGCTCCCCGAAGCCGCCAACAGTACCCGGTAGGCATCCCTAGGCCGTGTCCACATCCCTGCCGCCTCCCACTCCACCCTTCCGTCTCCGGCCAGCCAGATGCAGAACTCCTGGGGCTCATTTGCCCTCTGGGCCCGTGAACTCTGCAGTGGGTTTTATTTGCCTCCTCTCAGTATGTCAACATTGGGTGGGGCTGAATATCAAACCGGAGCAGCCTTGGGACCCAGGAGGGGTGGACAGAGGACACTTGGAGTTAAAGAAGCCTAAGAATAGCTCCTGTACGGAGCCCTTTCTCTGCCAGGCCATGCTGAGCACTTGACTCATATTCCCATAGCTCATCCAGCCTGGTGGTAGGTATCAAAGTAGATGTCATCATAACATGCAGCCAGCCCAGAGAGGTTAAGCAACTACATAAGGTCACACAGCTAGGAAGCAACAGAGCCAGTTCTCCAAGTCAAGGCCATCAGATTCCGAGACCTGTGGGTGCGCTTGGAGCCCCCGTGCGGCAGTGTCACATCTGGAAAGGGGCTTTGGAGATCACTGCCCACCTCTCAGCCCCCACCACCTTCAAGTTAGCCTGGGGAAGGCTGAGGCCGCACAGGGGCAGGCCTGGCTCTCAGCTTCCTCCTGCCTGTCCGCGCGGTATCCACGTGGCCCTTCCCTTAGCCAGGTGTGAGTCAGATTAAAGACCTTAGTCTCAGACCTCACCCGGGAGTCCTGCCAGATGAGAGCAGAGCGACCTCCCTCAAGGCCTCCTTGACAAACCCTGTTTTACTCTTAGGCTCAACGACCAGCCGAAAGCAGACGTGTTGGAGGCTCACGAAGCAGAGGTGAGGGTGACACACGTGAGTCCGCAGATCGCCCCTCCCTCTCTCCTCCCTTCCCATCTCAGAATGTGCAGGGGGCTTGAGAGTGAGTGGAGTGGGTGCTGGGCTCTGGCAAGGGCTGTCCCAGGAGCCCACTGCAGAGGTTCATGGCCGGGAGGAACGATGATGACTGTAACTGAGCAAGCTTGTCCACGCTCTGTCTTCCCCACGCTCCCCAGGTGATTGTAGCCTGGGTCAAGAACCACTGCCTTGAACCTTGAGCATGAGTGTCAACTGAGCCTGGATCCCTCCATTGCATTATGGCTTGGAGAATGTTAACAGGCTGATTTACTCCTGCCCAGGGAGAGTCAGAAACTCTGTGTTTAAACAAGAGTTCCAGAAGGATGGGGTCAGAGAAATTTATCTATGCCAGGGCTGCCCTTGCCCTTCCCTAGACAAGTAGATGTGGCTCACAGGTAGATCTTGGAGTATTAGCAGGACGAAGGGCCTCAGGTCACCGGGGCCAACTGCCACATATTGTGGATGAGGACATCGAGGTCCAGGGATGCTAAGTGAGCCGCCTGCTGTCCACAGCAGCTGGGTGCCCTGGCAGAATGCCTCTCTCCTCCCTTACCTGGCAGGGGCTCCAGGAGAGGGAAGAGAAGTCACGGAGCCCAGATCTTCTGCCCATGCCTGTTCCTCCCTGCTCTCCTTTCAGGCTGAGGAGCCGGAGGCTGGCAAGTCAGAGGCAGAAGACGACGAGGATGAGGTGGACGACCTGCCGAGCTCTCGCCGGCCCTGGCGGGGCCCCATCTCTCGCAAGGCCAGCCAGACCAGTGTGTACCTGCAGGAGTGGGACATCCCCTTCGAGCAGGTAGAGCTGGGCGAGCCCATCGGGCAGGGCCGCTGGGGCCGGGTGCACCGCGGCCGCTGGCATGGCGAGGTGGCCATTCGCCTGCTGGAGATGGACGGCCACAACCAGGACCACCTGAAGCTCTTCAAGAAAGAGGTGATGAACTACCGGCAGACGCGGCACGAGAATGTGGTGCTCTTCATGGGGGCCTGCATGAACCCGCCCCACCTGGCCATCATCACCAGGTAACCCAGCCCCAGGCCCTCAGGCTGGGTGGCCGCCTCAGCCTCCCCCTTCCCAGGGCGTCACGTTGTTTGGGTGCCCTAGAAGGTGTGGAAGTTATTAATAGAGGCACAAGGAAGAAAACCAAAAATGGGATATAACTTCCTTCTCACGTAACCTCAGTGACACTAAAAAATAAATACGGGCTGGTGCAGTGACTCATGCCTGTAATCACAAAACTTTGGAAGGCCAAGGTGAGCCAAATCTTCAGGAAGGATTGCTTGGGGCCCAGTAGCTTGAGACCAGCCTGGACAACATGGCGAAATGCTATCTCTACAAAAAATACCAAAGAATTAGCCAGGCCTGGCGGCAGGTACCTGTGGTCTCAGCTACTTGGGAGGCTGAGGCAGAAGGATCCCTTGAGCCCCGGAGGTCCAGGCTGCAGCAAGCCAAGATCATGCCACTGCACTCCAGCCTGGGCGACAGAGTGAGACCTTTGTAAGGTTATAGAAAATCAACTGTCCCTCAAAGATAGGGAGTGAAAGCCAGTCGTCTCCCACTGCATCTGAGCGCTTCTCCCCAAAGTCAGAGACACTAGAAACAGTTAACATCCCTTCTGTTAAAATGAAGACATTTGCATGTACTCACATTTTTAAACTGTTTATTCCTTCTTATAAAAAGGCAAAGGAGAGATCATGCTGGTTCATGCCTTGCCTTCTGCACTCGGTAATGGGTCTGAGGTCTGCTCTCTTCTAACACATGCATGGTATCCCCATCACATAGGCCCAACCTGGTGGTGTGCTGGTAAATGTGTATCAACCAGTTTGGGGTCAGTAGGGAGGGAAGCCCTAATTTGTTACATCCATCACTTCCTGTGGTGTAAATATTCTCACCATGGTCAATTTCAGACTGCCAGCCTGACCCCCCTGGCGTGCAGTAGAGTTGGAATGAGTCATTTAACACTCATGAGCTGATCACTGGTGGTCCCATAACTTATTTACAGAGCAAGACTCTGTCTCCAAAATTAATGAAAAACAAAACAGGTAATTAATGAATGAAACACAAGACAGGGTCTTGTTCTGTCGCCCAGGCTGGAGTGCAGTGGTGTGATCTTGGCTCACTGCAACCTCCACCTCCTGAGCTCAAGCAGTTCTCCTGCCTCAGCCTCCCAAGTACCTGAGATTACAGGTACACACCACCACGCCCAACTGATTTTTGTATTTTTAGTGGAGAGGGAGTTTCACCATGTTGGCTGGGCTGGTCTCAAACTTCTGACCTCAGGCGATCCGCCCACCTCAGCCTCCCAGAGTGCTGGGATTACAGGCATGAGCCACTGTGGCCTGCCTGAAACCGGAATACATTCATTAACAAAAAAGTCTTACTTTGTTTAGAATACACTGAAGAAAAGTGGGACACAGATAAGGAAATCACCAATACTCTCTACCCCTCACCCAGTTTTCTTGTTTTTCTTTTTTCTTTTTCTTTTTTTTTGAGGAGGAGTCTTGCCCTGTGCTGGGAGTACAGGCAGGAGCTGCTGCACCCAGCCCATCGCCCAGTTTTCAAAGGCTCTGAGACTCCAGAATATTTTTCTAAAATCATAGTCCTTTCCTAAGATAGCTCCCCTGGAACAGGGGAGTGAACCCGCATTCTCTCTGGGTCCCTCCTCGCCCTAGGTTTTAGGAGGCGATGCAGGTGGAGACCCCAGAACTCAGGCTCCTTTTCCAGTAGTCGCTGTGAGGCCTCTAACATCTCCCCTACCGCCTTTCCCTCCTTTCATACTCCTTTATTATGTGTTATATAAATCCCATGGTCAAGAAAAAATGAAAACTCGAATGAGACTCTTGACAGTGGTCTCCAGTGCCTTGATGTTGCCTGGTGTTGGCCTTAAAAGGCCAAGTTCTTCCCCATCAGAGCGATCCTGCCTTGAACCCACCAAGCATGGCTACTCCGAGTTCCTGGGAGCTTTGATGCACTGTTTCCTGTTGTGGGACAGGCAGGCACTGGCTCTCAGGGAATGGGGTTTGTGTGCGTGTACGTGCGTGGCTTCATGTGTGTTTCTGCATGTTCAGGCCAGACCCCAGCAGCCGTTGGCTGGGTTAAAGAAGACTGGGCTCACAGTTGAGGGGGTGGACGGAGCCCTTGCAGGCAGGCAGGCAGGCAGGCACAGTTCTCCCCATGGGCTCCACCAGGGACAGGGTCAGGCTGCACCAGCCCGGGACCCGTGCTTGACCCACCACCACCCTCAACAGCTTCTGCAAGGGGCGGACGTTGCACTCGTTTGTGAGGGACCCCAAGACATCTCTGGACATCAACAAGACGAGGCAGATCGCTCAGGAGATCATCAAGGTGAGGGGGTGTCTGCTGTTGAGGGGTGGGTTTCTGGCCAGTTCCAGGGCTCTCGGCTGTTCCCCCACTCTGTCAGCCCCCGGCAAGTTGGTTTGGCAGCTTTGCCTCTCCCTCTAGCTCAGGCTCCTCAAGGGTGGGACCCCGTCTCCTCCTCCCTGGCTCTCATTCACTCACAACTAGGAGCTGACCATCTACATGATTCGCCTTGATGGAATTGACTTGTTTGGGAAGGAACTCGGTGGACTTTAGAGACAGTTTCAATCCTGGTCACACCCGCTGTGTGAGTCTGGGCAGGTTGTTTAGCCTCTCTGAGCCTCAGTTTTCTCTCCTGTAAAACGGGGATCCTCATATAGCCTCCCTCTCTGGGTTGGTGTTAGGTTAAAAATGCAATAATCTATGCATTGGGGTACACGGGAGCCCTGAGTCTGGTGATTGAAGAAGCCTGACCTTGGTTGAGATCATGCCTGTGTCGGGTCACCCGCGTTCCATGTACCTGCCTCGTCAGTGTTCAGTTCAAATAGAGCATTGGTTAGAAATCACCCACTGCCACCTTTCGCTGGGCAGATGAGAAAAGCGGGCTTCAGAGGAGTCGAGCACTGTGTCCTCGGCCACAGAGCGAGTGATACTCTGAGCCGAGATGGAATTCAAACCCCAGATTTCAGTTTCAGTCCAGGGCTCCTTCTACAGCTCAGATACTAGGAGCATCCCAAGTTGGGAACCCCTCTGTGGGAATGCCTCTCTGTTACCCCTGCGCTGAGCCCTGGCCCTGCCTGAGAGAGGAGACCAGTGATGCATATCCTTACAGAAAACCCCAGCTCATTTAGGCCCTTCATGACTTAACACAGATAATCTCACTGTTCCTGACCCCCCGGCTCCCCGCTCTTCACCCCGTTCATATCCCCTACCCCCCTACCTTATCCAAGGTTAAGGTGGCTATTTGGAAGCATGGTAACATTAAGAGCAGGGACCCATCTAAGGTCAGATCTCAACTCTGCTCCTTCACTGCTCTGTGCCTTGGGGCAAGTGACTTTCCCTCTCTGAACCTCGATGTATTCTGTAAAATGGGGACAGTATACTGCATGGAATGGTGAAGATCAAGTGAGGGGGTTTGGGTACAGCATCCAGCCCAGGGTGGCAGCTCCGTCGTCACCGTGCATCTTCACTCCTGCTGATCTGGGGCTCGCCGTCCTCCAGGGCATGGGGTATCTTCACGCCAAGGGCATCGTACACAAAGACCTCAAATCCAAGAACGTCTTCTATGACAACGGCAAGGTGGTCATTACAGACTTCGGGCTGTTCGGGATCTCGGGCGTGGTCCGAGAGGGACGGTGAGTGGGTCTTGGGTGTCTGGGTGGGACGGGGATGCCGGGTGGGGAAGGGCGGGCCTGAGGTCTGGGCCTTTTACTGTTTGTTGTTGAGCTGCAGCTGTCCCTGCAGGGAAGTTCAGGTCGCTTTGGTCCTGCGCTTAGAGTTCTGGTTCAGAATCAGATTTGGGTCACGTTTGGATTCTCAGGCTGACTTCCTGGAGACCAGGTCACCACACTCATATTTGCCCTGGCTGTTCACCAACTTGGCCAAGGACCCAGTATTCATTTCCCCATGAGGAGGAAGAGCATCATTTTATTTCCCCAAATCTTGAAGGGGTCGGGGTGGGGAAAAAGGACCCTCCCCTGGCATCTGGGGAACCCTGAAAGGGAGCATGGCAGTGAGGCTGCAGGACCAGTCCCAGGCAGGTTTGAGATCCACAGGCAGATCGGGGTTCCTGGTTAGAGAAGCACCCCATTTTCCTAGCAAAGAGCTGGGCACCTTCACAGGCTCCTCCCTGTCAATATGTATTCCGTTCTTGCCCCACTTTTCTAGAAACACCCGGTCATGACTCATTTATAGAATTCCTCAAAAGCACCGGTGCCTTTCCCAAGTGTGGGGTCAGTGTGCTGGCTCTGGGTGTGTTCTCTAAGCTGTGTGTGGGTGCTCTGCCGGCCCTGGGACAGACCTGAGCCAGGCAGCCCTCTTGACTGCCTGCTGAAAGGCCTGTGCCCCTGCCCCGGCTTCCTGGTCTCCAGGCGTGAGAACCAGCTGAAGCTGTCCCACGACTGGCTGTGCTATCTGGCCCCTGAGATCGTGCGTGAGATGACCCCTGGGAAGGATGAGGATCAGCTGCCGTTCTCCAAAGCTGCTGACGTCTATGCGTTTGGGTGAGTTAGGGCCCTGGTGGCCATCCATGGCAGAGGGAGGCGGCCTTTTAGGTGTTGAAAACCCAGACTTTGGAGTAAAACTCCACCTGGTCTTGAGTCTTGGCTCTGCCACTTGCTGGGTGCGTGACCACATCCTTGACCTTCTGCCTCCCCATGAAGTAAAATGTGAAGAGGAATAGCTCCTCCCCACAAGGTCATTTCCTGAGGGCTAACATAGGTCATTGTGTTCCGTGCTTAACACTGGCCGTCAGCCCCACCCATCCGATCTGCCAGGATGCTCACCAGAGCTGACGGAGAACTGTCCCTCCCAGGCTGGGGGAGGTGGGCGTCCTGCCAGCCAGGCTGTGGTACCCCACAGAGAGCTGGGTACTGACCAGTAGCAATGTAATATGAGCCTGATATAGAAGCTAAAGTTTTCTAATAGCCACATTAAAAAAAGAGATGGGTGAAATTTAGTTTCCCCTGTTTATGTTTTATATATTATAAAATAATATATTTTATTTAACTCAGCATATCCAAAATATTATTTCGACATGTAATCAACATACAAATTAATATGATATTTTATGTTCTTTTTTCCTACTAAGTCTTTAAAATCTGGTGTGTGTTTACTGCCCAGATTACCCCTCCATTCAACTGTGTACATTTCAGCCAGCCAATAGCTCCCCCGTGGCAAGAGGTTTCCCCATTGGACAGTGTGGATCTGGTGGAGAAAGTCCCGTCCTAAGTCGAGAAAGCCAAGGGGATGCGGAGAAGCCAAGCCAGGCTCACCACCCGAGTCCCCTGTGCTGTCTCTGGGTGTCCTTCCCAGTGGGGTGGCCTTGGTGCCTGCCTTCTTCCCTGACCTTTAACTGTACCCTTTCCTGAGCACCTGTGTGTGCCCAGTGCTGGGCTCGGCACTTCAGTACCCCTCAAACAACCCTGTGACAAGAGGCATCAGCCCCACTGAGGTGAAGCCGTTTTACCAGGAGCCAGTAGCAAGTGGCAGAGCTGGGTTTGTGCTGAGGTCGGAATGACCAGCCATGCTCCAGTCAAGCCTGTGCTGTCTCAGACTTCCCACCCCATGACAGCACAGGGCCCAGGTCCTCTAAAGCCGGGAGGAGCCTCCAGGAGGCCATCGTCGTCTCCCCTGAAGCCAAATGAGTGAGGAAGGTTGGAGAGGGGTCCTGATCCTCTGGCTGGGTGATGGCTGCAAGAGCCCCTGCGCGTGAGCTGGGCAGAGCGGCCCCAGAGCTCACGGCCGCGACTGGGTCTCCACAGGACTGTCTGGTATGAGCTGCAAGCACGAGACTGGCCCTTGAAGAACCAAGCTGCGGAGGCATCCATCTGGCAGATTGGAAGCGGGGAAGGAATGAAGCGTGTCCTGGCCTCTGTCAGCCTGGGGAAGGAAGTCAGTGTGAGTAGACCCTGCCTGGGAGGGGCAGTAGGACTGGGGGTAGGGTGGGGTGCGTGGCATGGCCGCCCTTCATTCACCCACCTGAGAAGTGGGGTCGGGGAGGGGCTCTGCCACCTGCAGGTGTCTAGCTAGAGATGACAACGACACGCACTGCTGGGGATGGGAAGGAACAGGGAGGCACAGATAAGAAAATATCCATCCACACCCACCATCACCTTTTTCATTCCTTTCAGTGTTTTTTCTTTTCCTTAAAGATAATGGTTTTCATTGATTTATAAGATGAAAAGAAAGTAAAGCCCCATGTTATTTATTTATTTATTTATCCACATCCAGCCTTACAGTTATACCTGAAAAAGTCCCATGTTATTTACATGAAGGAAGATCATTTTCTTTTTTTTTTTTTTTTTTTTTTTAAAAAATCACTGCTCAAACTACAAATAGTTGTGTTATGCTATGGTATTAAATCTTTCCCCGTAATGTTTTTCTTGACCGTTAAGAACAAGTCGAAGTTTCTGCAGCAAACTTGTTTTCAAAAAACCGAGTCTTAATTGTGGTTGCTGACTTCTCGTTTCTGCAGGGCTCCTTCTGAATGGTTTCTCTGTGTTTGTAAGTTTTTTCAGGCTAAATAAGAGAGAGAGGCTCTCAAAAGATGTTTATTTGGAACTAGAGCACTGCACTGGGAATATGCGTGCCATGGTAAATGGCTTATTCTGGGAGGCAAAGGGAAAAGCAAAGAGGATTGCGTAATTGTTTTGAAATATTTAATAATTGTCCCTGGCTACAAAGATCACAAGAGTGATGTCAGTCCAAGGTCAGACAGGCTGTTTGGGCAGATGTCCTTGTAGGAGTATTTTTTTTGTATATGGTCGCAGTGGCCTTCATACAAGGTTGCAGGTTTTGGAGTCTTCAGGGATTGTTTTCGTTTTCAGACATACAAGCACAGGAAGCCTGTCTTCAGGGCTTTCCCAGGCCTGATTCGTTGGCGTTTTCTTCACATTGGTGACTCTATTTTGATTCGAACAACTTTCAGTTCCCTTTGTCATGGTGCAGTGATGTATAAAGAAACTCCAGGGCTGGATATTTTCAGCGCATCGGTGATAGCCATGTGTCCATGAATCGGATAGGATTGGGACATAACAGCCTTGATGTTAATAAGCAGCTGCAGTCAGTATCCGGGCAGCATAGCAATCGAAGTCTTCCGAGGGCCCGCCCAGCGCTTGTCCAGGCTAAGATCCGAATAGGCTGTGAGCTTCTTGTTGAGGTCATGAGCACTGCTGGCAGGATCACTGTCTGCAAATCCACAGTGATGAATTCAATCTCACCTTCCTCCAAGATCTTAATAGATTGTAATATTTTTCTCAGTTGATGGGTGGCAAGCAGCTAGGGCGTCTTCAGAAGGCTCACTCAAGATGACATTATATTTGATCTACTTTATTCCACAGTAGTATATGTCATCTTGTTGAAGTGCAAAATATCTGTACAGGTATACGCCTCCAAAGGTGACACCAAAATCCTAAGTAACAGCACTAACAGCAGGCTCCTCTTTGGCCAGTTGATCCATTTCCTCTGGGGCACTGGGCAAGGGGCTTGAGTGATGAGCCCCTCCCTGACACTCTCGGGCCAGGGCCACCTCAGTGCACCCTTGGGTACCTTAGGAGGGTGTAGTGATGGTGCGGGATTTTTTTTGCTTTTTAGCTCAGCTAAAATCCGGGTTCTTGTCTCGTGATCAGGAAATATTAGGCACGCAGACACACTGAAAGGTGAGGAGAGCAGAATTCATTAAAAGAATGCTCTCAGCCAAAAAGAGGGGCTCCCCCCAACAGGCCCCCGCCTCACAGATTGAATACTAGGCCACCACACGTGAGCTGAAGAGGCCAGGCTCCTCCCCCTGCGTAGGCGTGAATTCCTGGTGGCTCCACCCCGTTCCCCCAGTGCGTATGGGTCTCCAGTCTGTTGCGGGTGTACCCAGGCAAGACCCTGTGCAGGTTTCCTCATCTGCCCAAAAATATCTGCTGTAAACACTTGTGGCGTGGGACGGAGGTTCTCCGGGACCTTTCTTTATCTGCCTCCTGCAACTGCCAGTGGGCTCAAGATACAGGTTTTGGGCCGCTGGCGTGGCCGTAGCCTCCTTGGCGAGGCTCTGGAGCAGCGCAGATGGCAGCTGAAGTAACCACTGCCTTCCAGTCTTTTTAAATTTTTTTCGAGACAGTCTTGCTCTGTCACCCAGGCTCCAGGTTCAAGTGATCCTCCCACCTCAGCCTCCAAGTAGCTGGGATTGCAAGCATGCACCAAAACACTCTGCTAATTTTTGTATTTTTAGTAGAGATGGGGTTTCACCATGTTGGCCAGGCTGGTCTCGAACTCCTGGCCTCAAGTGATCCATCTGCCTTGACCTCCCAAAGTGCTGGGATTATAGGCATGAGCCACTGTACCCAGCCTAGTCTTCTTTAAAAAAAAAAATTAAGACGTAAATGTCATAACATCTAGCTGATTGTTTTTGTTGTGACTTTTTCCACTTGACATTTTATTATGCTCATTATCTCAAATCATTAGCAAATCCTTATCGTTAAGGCTGTCTGCCCTAGTGTCCTACGGCTCCGCCAAAATGTAACTGCTTCTGTCACGGGACATGGAGAGTCTGTCCAGTTTTCACCTCTCTTTACAATAGAGTTGGCAAGGACATCTTTGTGTAAAGCGGAGCGTTATGTGTGTTTGTTGTGTCTGGAACAAAGGAGCTGCTTCCTTCTGCCCTCCTGGCAGCAGGTTTGTTTCCTTCCTGCACACTCAGCATCTTGGAGCAGAGAATGGTAAGTGCCATCGTCAGGCAGGCAGAGGCTGGAGCAGAGCTGAGCTGAGGGCTGCGAGGGCATCAGGGCTCGGCACTGGCCACTGGTTGGAATCATCTGGGAGTTTGCTAAAAATGCCGGAGTCAGGGTCTGTCCCATAGAGGTGCCAATTTAATTGGCCTGGGATGGGAATAAGATCATAGGGTTTTTAAATTTTTAAATAGAGCTCCTCAGATCATGCTAGAGCACAGCCAGAGTTCTGAAGTAATTAGAAGGATTTCTTTTAGTGCAGGGTGATGGTTGCTTTGAGACCAGATTGGGGTTGGGGCGTGGGAAGTGGGGACAGAGCAGATGCTCCGGCAGCTAGCTTGTGGCGCACGGGAGTTCCCTTTCTTCTGTCCATCTTGCCTTCCCTTCTTAACACGTTGCTATTAGGGGTAGGGGAACACTGGTCCATGCAATAAAGAGACTTTTTTTTTTTTATCATAGACAAAAGCTGGGAGTGCCCTCTTAAGTGGCGCCTTTCTCTGTCTCTCCAGCCACTCTACTGTATAGTTCACCACTGGGCACTGCTTTATATTCTGAGGCAGCCAGTGAGTTACTAGTCATTGTATCTAAGGGTCCATGCACGTGGGAAGACATCAAAAGACTAGAGGGTTCTTAGTGAAAACCAGCAGTTCCTCACCCTAGGTCATTCGCCAGAGGCATCGCCTCGGTCTGTCAGCTTTTCACTCTCTTGTCACTCTCTCCTTACTGCTGGACTACTTTGGTCAGCTTTCCCATTATTTATTGTTAAGGTTGCCGTGATTAAATCTTCCATGCTGTGCCTGTTGATGGAGGCTAAAAATGAGAAGATAAGGAACATTGTGTACACTGTTATAAGAGACTGCAGGTGCTGTTAGCCACTGGTCGGGTAGTTCACTGGGATTGCGTTTTCTTCCTTGTGGGTCCATCTCTTCCACTTCATCAATTTCCTAAAGGCTTACCATTTTGTTGGCTTCACGTTCGGACCACGGCAATTGAGGTTTTTCCTGTAGTTTCCAATTGCCTTTTTTTTTTTTTTCTTTTTGCCTTTTCCTGTTGCTGAAAAAAGAAGCAAACACCTTTCTCATATTCCTGAGGTCTTTCAGGCTCTTCTGCATTCTGCTTCTTGAATGGAATTTGTTTCATTCTTTTCAGAGCCCACTGGTTTCTTGTCATTTGAATCAGTGGGATGTTAGGCCTGACACCCAGCTGTTACCCTTCTGTTTTCTTTTCATTTGCTCCTGGGTCAGTTGCACTCTTAACGTCTCGTTCCTTCCCCTCTCTTTATTTGCACTCTAGCAAACAAACTTCGAGTGAAACCTGAAGAAGCTGCCTGCCTGTGGAAGAATGGGAGATACTCTTTGAATCCTTGCATGCCTCAAAAAAATTATTAGTTTGTCCTCACATCAGCAGTAGAATTCCAGGTTTATAATAATTTTTCCTGAAAACACAAGGGTCTTGCCCTGCTGTCTACTAAGTGTCCAAGGTCTTGTTGAGAAGTCTGGTGTTGGTCTGATTCTCAGCCTTTTGTGGACGCTTATCTTATTCTTTCTGGAAGCATCTAGGATGTTCGGTTTATCCCTGCTATAGAGAAAATTTCATAAAATTATGTCTGAGTATAGAGTTTTTAATTTTTTTACTTTTTTCAAAAAGCGAGGTCCCTTTATTGGACCTTTTCAGCTGAAGACACATGCTACTTTTGAAAGTTTCTAGTACATTTTCTTTTATTATTTCTTGGATAATTTCCTGCCCAATAGTCTGTTTACTTTTGTGGAAATCCCCATTAGACAGAATTTGGTTTCTCTTAGTGAGCCTACATTCTTCTTGCCTTCTTTTGTATTTTCTGTTCCTATCTAGAATCGAGCCTACAGTCTGGGGAATTTCCTTGATTTTTATCATCCAGCACTTTTAATGTTTCCATTCAGAAATTGTATTTTTAATTTCAAGCACTTCCTTCTTTGTTGATTTCTTTTTTATTGCAGCCTGGTCTTGTTTTATGTGTGGAGTAGCTGCCTCACACAAACGCACATGCACACCCCATATCCTCCAGAGATAGTTTCTTGATCTGCTTATCTTTGATCTCTGTCTGGTTTTCCTGATAGGCAGGCAACCCCATGGAGTCTAGTATTTAAGAGCAAAAGCCTGAGTTGCTGAGCCTGTGTGGGTGTATGTATTCTGCTTGGTCATATGTATGTATTCTGCCTGGTCATGCAGGGAATAGGCCTTTCCTCACAGGCAGCTCTGAATCGGCAGGCTGCAGGGCTGTGCTGGCACACACAGGGATCCTGAGAGCAGGCAGCACAGTGCCGCAGTCAGAAGGGCTCTGCTCTGGGGGCATTCGGGACAGCTGTTCTGCTGACGCTCAGCTGCTGCCCCTATATTGAGTCCTCCTTGTCACTCCAGCCGCCGTTCTGCTAACGCTGGCGCTCCCTCCTCCACTGCAGCCCCGCCCTGCGCACATTCCCAGTATCTTGCATTTCACCTGTGAACATTGTATCTTGCACTTTGCATCTTCAGAAAACCAGCAGCCCCTTTTCTGATCTCTTTCCCATTGCTAGTCTGTTCATCGTGGTTACTCTTATTTTGGGGTGGGCGTGGATCTAAGAAGGAAGGAGGGGAGGTAATCTCGTGCATCTCACGTGGAGCCAGAAGCACGAGTGCTTCTTTGAAACCCAGTTACTTCTTAGCCCTTCACGTCAGCAGGGTGTTTGGGGGGGCCGCCAGCTAGAGGTACTTGAGAACATGGAAGGGATGCTTCGTGGAGCCCCTACTGTGTGCCACCTCCCTCCCAGCCGGCTCATACACCACTGATGGCAGCTCCATTTGCAGGAGATCCTGTCGGCCTGCTGGGCTTTCGACCTGCAGGAGAGACCCAGCTTCAGCCTGCTGATGGACATGCTGGAGAAACTTCCCAAGCTGAACCGGCGGCTCTCCCACCCCGGGCACTTCTGGAAGTCAGCTGAGTAAGTGCCTCCCACACGAGCCAGATTCTGCCAGCCAGGCCCTCGCAGCTTCACCTGGGGTCTTAGAGGGCTCCTTCTGCTCTTTCTACCCAGGACTTTGTTTTGGGGGGTTTTTTGAGATGGCGTCTTGCTCTGTCGCCAGGCTTGAGTGTAGTGGCGCGATCTTGGCTCACTGCAACCTCAGCCTCCTTAGGTTCAAGCAGTTCTCCTGCCTCAGCCTCCCGAGGGGCTGAGACTATAGGCATGCGCCACCACACCTGGCTGTTTTTCTATTTTTAATAGAGACGGGGTTTCACCATATTCCCCAGGCTTGTCTCAAACTCCTGACCTCAAGTGATCTGCCCGTGTCGGCTCCCAAAGTGCTGGGATTACAGGTGTGAACCACCATGCCCAGCCTCTGCCCAGGACTTTAGGAATACACAAAGCAGGTTAGCCAGAGTGATACCGGGATTTCATTGGCTACATTTATTTTGGAGACTCCCTTTGACAGGTGAGCACCTCCAATTTGCAGCTACGAGAAACGGCATCATCACTATTAGCAGACCAGCACTGATGCCAGGCCAGGCCAGGACTAGAAGGTTCTGCGAGGGAGTGGCAAAATGGGGCCAGTTAGAAGTCAGAGTGACATATTGTAAGCGTCACTGAAATAAGCAGAGCCAGTATTGCTTACGGTGTCCCCAACTGAAGCACCAACTGAAGCCAGCCACGTCTTATGGGGACCACAGTCACTTGGGTTTATGTGGTGCTTTGATGCTGGAAGCTCTCTCCTTCCTGGTTTAACGCACAGCCCTTTGCACTCCTCGGTGTGGGGGTGATATCCACCAGGTTACAGGCCACTGTCATCTCGCCTGTCTTCTGTCTCATTCCCTTTTTGCTTTGTCCTCTGGCTGCCTCTGTTAGAACACTCAGAGGAGACCTCTGCCCTGCCATGAGTGCTCTGTGAGAACCTGGGAAGTCCTTTTATGCTCTGGGACTCAGTTTTCATGGCTTAAAAAGTCTCTGGGCTAGGGGTTGGGTCAGATCTAGGGCAGGTAAAATTGCTGTAAGGGGCCAGGTGAATATTTGAGACATTGCAGGCCAAGAGGGCAAATCAGGTCCTCATTCCGGAAGCTGCCTTTGGCAGGGTGCCGAGCACTGTCTCTGTCACAGCATCTCAGCTCTGCCGTCACAGCACGGTAGCAGCCACGGTCGGCATAAACCGGGGAGCTGGCTGCATGTCAGTAAGACTTAATGCTGGAAATTGGGATTTCACATGTCATGAAATAGTCTTCTTTTGGTATTTTTGCCCCCAACCATGTAGAAAGTGAAACAATTCATCTCACCCAGGAGTCCAGCCTGTAGGTCAAGTATGGCCTGCCACCTGTGTCCGTACACTCTGCAAACTAAGAATAGTTTTACCTTTCTGAAAAACTTTTCTTAAAAATGTTTTTATATACGCAGAGATGAGGTCTCACTGTGTTGCCCAGGCTGGTTTCAAACTCCTGAGCTCAAGTGATTCTCCTGCCTCAGCCTCCCAAAGTGCTAGGATTACAGGTGTGAGCCACTGGCCTGACCAGTTTTAAACTTTAAGGGAAAGGACACTTTGTAAAAGTGAAGTCTCCCACAGAACCCCACTATATAAAACCTATAAAGTGGAGCTGCTCTTGATGAGAGTGACAGGAAGAGCCTGTCTGCCACCCACTGCCAAGGAAGCCCCCTGAGGCTCCCGTCCCTGTGCACATGTGTCACTGAGTGCCTGGAGAAGCTACCTCCCCACCTCCCTTACCTAGCGCCAGGTGTGGTGGTGACAGCTTTCCTTATCCTGGGAAGGGTCAGGTAGTAAATATTTTGGGCTTGCAGTGACACAGTCTCTGCTACATGTTCTTTGTTACTATTTTTTAACCCTTTAAAGTACTCAGAACCTTTCTTAGCGTGTGGCCAGATCTGGCTTGCACATTGTTTTCCAGGGCGAGTCTTTTTTTTTTTTTTTTTTTTTTTTTTTTGAGACAGTCTCGCTCTGTCACTCAGGCTGGAGTGCAGTGGTGTGATCTTGGCTTACTGCAACATCTGCCTCCTGGGTTCAAGCGATTCTCCTGCCTCAGCTTCCCAAGTAGCTGGGATTACAGGTACACGCTACCACAACTGGCTAATTTTTGTATTTTTAGTAGAGATGGGGTTTCACCATATTGGCCAGGCTCGTCTCGAACTCCTGACCTCAGGTGATCCACCCACCTTGGCCTCCCAAAGTGCTGAGACTACAGGCATGAATCACTGCGCCCATTCTCCAGACTGTGTCTTTTTTTGTTTGTTTGTTTTTGAGACAGAGTCTCACTCTGTTGCCCAGGCCGGAGTGCAGTGGCACAATCTCAACTCAGTGCAACCTCCGCCTCCTGGGTTCAAGCGATTCTCACGCCTCAGCCTCCCAAGTTGCAGGGATTACAGGTGCCTGCCACCACGCCTGGCTAATTTTTGTGGGTTTTTTTTTTTTTTTTTTTTTTTTTTTTTTTTTTTTGGTGGAGATGGGTTTTCACCATGTTGGTGAGGGTGATCTCAAACTCCAGACCTCAGTTGATCTGCCTGCCTTGGCCTCCCAGAGTGCTGGGATTACAGGTTTGAGCCAAAGTGGGCCTCCAGCTACACTTGAGGAGAGGCCCAGCATGAGTTTTCTCTCCTGCAGGAGAAGTTACTAAAGAAATGCTTGGTGCTTCACTGATTCAGGCCAGGTAGAGGGATGGTCTGGAGGAATGACAGTGTGGGGTCAGGGAATACCATATTTCATGCAATACTGGGTTTAGTATTTGGTACTTAGGATGGGTTGGCATCCAGTACAAATGTGGGGTAGTGGATCTTAACCATAGAGGCATGCGTCTTAGGCAGCCATTGCTGTGCATCTGCCGCACACCTGGGCAAACACAGGTGGCCAAGGCCACGGCTCCACCAGCGAGGAGCTTCCAGTGTCATAAAGACAGACAGGCACTGAAATGAAACCTGCACACATCAGGACTCTTTCTTATCACCGTTATGTTCCTGGCTCCTGGTACAATCCCAGGAACATTATAGTTGGTCACTAAATATTTGACGGGCATGAATGAATGGGCAAAGGGTGATAACATGCCAGGTGCTGTGATAAAGCCCAGACGAGGGCCTCTGTGTCCATCTGGGGGACATGAGGAAGAGTTTCTGGAAGAAGGGTCATCAGGGCTGGGTTTTGAGCCAGAACTATCGCAGCAGAGACCAGGAGCAGGGGGCTCTTAGCAGTTCAGGGAGGGTGATGTGAGGTGGGGAGGCCAAGCCGCGATCACACCTCAGGCAACTCGCTTAACAAGCTGGGCCCTGGTTTTCTCCCCCACAAAAGAAAAGGCTCCATTAGGTGGACACTGGCATTCAGGGCATCATTCCAGATTCCCTGGAAAACCATACATTCCCACTTTCTCATTTCACAGGCAGGAAACTAAGTCACAGATGGGCTGTTTCCTGCCCAGCCCCTTCAGGGAAAGCATGCGAGTTTTCCTTTCCTGAATGAGTCTGTGTCAGGCTTCCTGTTCGGTGTTCACTTTCTACACACTTGGCCCCTAATTCTCACTTTCTCTTTTCTTTCCCATTGACCTTGTCACTTGGGTGGGGGATGTGCTGTTCTGTCATCTCCCGCTTTCCCATCATCTGATTCCTCCACCTGTCCACACGTGCCCGACTCCATCACCTGCCGGGACCGGACTGCGCTCTTCTCACGCCTGGCGGAACGGTCACTGGCCACTCCCAGCCGCTGGAGGAGCCGCTACTATGGAAAAGGACGCTACGGCCACCCTGACTTTAAGAGCTCCTGTCCGGTTCTGGAGGAATAGTGTGTTCCTTCCCTCGCTGGCTGCCTTTCTCTGGTTGTCCTGACACAAACCCCGCTTCCTTTCTGTCGCTGCTTCCCAGCTTCTCCCATCTTTGTGTCATGTATTCTCAAAAACCACAGTGAGGTTTCTGCAGCTGAAATGGCCACCAGCAAGCGTTACACAGGCTTGCGTTTTTTGCTGGGCAAGAGAAGAGCCACAGCATGTGGCTGGGGCCTCTGTCCACACCACAAGTAGATGGATGGCTTGTCCCTGGGTCAGAGAGAACTTGGGTCATTGATCTGAGTCCCCAGGGTCTCAGTCACCCTGGCCAGAGCTCAAGAGAAGAGAATCCAGTGAAGCAGAATTACTCCTGGAAGTAGATTTTGCTTATCAAGGGCTAAGGAGCCATGGGCCTGGGCCAGCCTCTTTACAAACGTGCTGCGATTGTGCCCTCTAGGAGCTTAGAGAGGGTTCTTTGTGCCCATGCCCCCTTCTGAGGCTGCAGTGCAGCAAAGCCTGGGGGATGGAGTCCGGGATGACCCTTCTCTCCGGAAGGGAAAGGGAGCCCCGCGCCCAGCTGCTCTGGCCAGGACTGTCGCTCCCAGCAGGCTCCGCGTGAGGCTGTGGTTCTGACACTTTGCTTTGCTTTCTTCTCTTTCCCTCCGTAGGTTGTAGGCCTGGCTGCCTTGCATGCACCAGGGACTTTCTTCCTCCTAATCAACAACTCGGCATCGTGACTTCTACTAAAATGCACAATGAGATGCGGGCACTAACCCAGGGGATGCCACCTCTGCTGCTCCAGCCGCCTCTCTCCAGCCTACTTCTTTTGCTTTGTTTTTAAAACTGGCCCTCTGCCCTCTCCACGTGGCCGGCGTATGCCTGAGTAACTGTTCTCAGAGGATCCCACTAACTGAGCTCCCTCCCGGGCGGTCTGCACAGCTGCTGACTGCCTTCCCGGACGTGACTTTGATTGCTCCCGTGTTCTTCTGAGGGCTGGTCTTGTTTTTGTTTGGGTGGCCCTGTCTTAACTGCTAACACCTTAGTGAGATGCTTCCACACCCTTGAGCATACCAGCCTCTGAGCGCTGAGTGTGTGCCTAGTGTGGGGTGGGCAGAGGTGGGGAGGGTGTTGGCTTAGCTTTTAACCCATGGGGATTTTGTCCAACAAGGAGTGGAGTGATTTCAGAGCTGCCCTGACGCCGGCACCCTGGTCCCGGGAACCCTCTGCTGGGCTCCCGCCTCTCAGTCCCATCTGTAGAGTTGCATCAGAAGACACAAAGTTCTGTGGCCATGAAAGACACCAGCTCGGAAGGGTTGTGTCTTCAGTGGCACCCTCAGAAAAGCTGTCTTAAAGAGGTATCTGGCTCCAGAAATGTTTCGCACGAAAGCAGTCTCTCCCCTGTCCCCACCCTGCCACCCTGGCAAAGTTATTCCCTTTACACCTGTCCAGTGTGCCATAGACCACTCCCCACGTCAGCATTTGTTAAGAGCATCGCTGATGTCCCCTGCGGCAGTCACTGCGTCGTTTACTAAACCCGAGTTCCTGTCCTCCCTACCCAGCAAAACGTGTGGAACCAGATCTCTGGAATTGGGCTCTAGGAATCTGCCTTTCAGCCTGCTTCCCAGGTGGCCCTGATGCACCCCAGTATTCGAGTTGATTTCTAAAAGGAACGTGCCACATCACTCCTGGTATCCTGGGGTCATGTTTCTCTTCTCTCTCAGTTCTACTTGGAGCAAGAGCTTTCCTGGGCCGCAAATGAGAAAGCGATTGCGAGCAGCCCGCAGCAGCACGGAACACACTGGGAACTCGGAACTCGGGACTCGGGGATGAATGAGCCACTATTGCTCCAGGCAGAACCACCTGGAGTGTGGCTGGGGCCTTGGGTGCTGTGTGACCAGGGCAGCTCTGCCAGTGCTATTGGCCGACAATCATTTTCATTTCTTGTTGGAGGCCAGATCCTCTGCTCAGCCCATTTCCTAGCTAGTGTTACCCTAATTCTGATGAAGACCCACGGGGCTATAATTCTTGTTTTTGTTCCTCTTCACAGCATTAACAGCAGCAAAGTTGTACCCCGGTTTGAAAGGTTTGGCTTGGGCGTCCTGGAGTCCAGTAATTCAAAGATGTAGCCAGCCCTGTGGTTTTTCAGCTGCTGATCTCTTTCTTTTTAAAATGCGTTTCTGAAACATCCAAACAACCACCGCAACAAAAAATAGACTGCCTGCCCAGCGCTGCAAACCAGGAGCACGTGTCCTAGATTCAGACTGTTTGCAAGAAACCCCATTCGGGAGAGGGAGCTGCACCTGCTATTTCTTAACATGACACCACCAACAACCAAGCCTGTCCTGACAGACAGCAAATGTTTACACGTGTATGTCTGCTGAGTGAACCTGATGTTTTACAATAGATTAATAATAGAAACAGTCTGTGCGTAGATGTGCTGGCACCGACGGCCAGGATGGCGGAGATGGCTGTGTCCTCTGGAGGACCTCGTAGGGACCCATGCTGGGCCAGAGGGGAAGACACGCGTGGCGATTGCAGCTGTTCTTGGGATGGAGCGGGAGCCCACAAGGTCTGCCCTGGACTCGGCTTTTTGGCCCAAGAGCCCATTGAGGGAATCGGGGACTCTCTCTAGGCCTCTCCCCTTGTCCTTTCAGAGGGAGGCTGCCCCTTCCTCGTTTTGCGGAGGAAACCCTGGCTGGGAACTGAGTTAGATTATGGAGTCTGGAGTTCCCGGAGAGCTTGGGTTCACCTTCTTATCCCTGTAATCCAGGCTGCTCCTGTTGGAAAAATAGAAACAGAATCCAGAAAATGTCTGGACTCACCCAGTGGTTCCAAGCCAGGGTTTCTGCTGCAAGGTGAGGAAACACCCATGGCTTGTACAGATGTGAGTCTTCGATGAAGCCCCAGCAGGCGTCAAGGTGATGGGACTCAGGACCTCGGCTTTTCGGTACATCCCAGTCCCTGACTGACATCTGACCGCAAGGGCTGGATGGGTGAGAACGAGGAAGACGGGAGAAGGAGAAGGAGTAGATGGCGAAGGTACCTGAGCCCTCTTCCCAGCCACAGGGTGACCCTGTCACTGTAAAACCCTTTGTCAGTCATGCCAGAAGGTTCTAGAATTTCCCACCTCTTCCATGTCAGTCCTGTTGAAACCCCTTAGCCCATTACCAACTCCTCTGTCCATGCTCTGAGCTCAGATGGGTGGCATGCGGCCCGTGACTCCTTTCATGTAGACCCAGCTAGCTGGCCCCCGTCTGCAGAGCCTTCTCTGGCACCACTAGGCCTTCTACTTGTGTGCACTTGAAGCAGGAGGGGCTGGATTTGGAAAAGTCTTTGAGGCGAGAGCCCCACACTTGTCTTCATTAGCAACTCTCACCTGCAGAGAAAAGTTCCAGATGGCAAGGGAGCCCTTAAGTGGAGGTTAGGCTGCATTCGGCTCCAAAACCAGAAAGGAGAAAGGGGTGTTGGGAGTGAAGATGAGATTGGATTCAGGCCCGGAACCTGTGACCATGCTCTGAGCTCGGACTTGGGGAGGGAGGGAGGTGGCTCCCACCCCTTGCAGTTAGACCCGCCTACCAGAGCCCCAGTCTCCAGCCCCTTCCCTCGCACCAGAGCCTGGTCAAAATGCCACAGAAGATAGCTGCTCTGCCAGGAAGCTGTGGAGCTGCCGCCTCTCCAGGTCGGGCACCCCTTGGTCAGCCCCTCCTTGGCACAGCTGTATAGCAGTGCCAGCGTGCCTGTCCATCAGCGTCTTCACCCTTCCCAGCACTTGAGGGGTAGCCGTAAACCACACGGACTCAGCTCCATGCGGGGCTTCTGTGCTGTGGTGGGACTGCTTATTTTGCCCTGTCATCCTTTGGGCCTCCTACATCCCTGCCCCTTCCCAGGGATCACCTGTGTCTCCGGCCTTCCACCTTTCTCCTGCAAACGGCGCCCTTTTTCCAGGCGAGAGCAGGCCCGATGGATGTCCTGGTGAGCCCCACGGTTGGACATCAGCTCAGCCAGTCAGGCTCAGTTCCTCCCCAACCCCTGATGCCAGGCCACAGTGGGATGCACAGGCCCCCAGAAAGTCAGTCCGGGTTTGGCCTTTTCTCCTGAGCATCACAGTTAAAGAAGCACTTCGTTGAGCAACTACAGTGTACTTGGCCGTATGCAAGTGCTGGGCGCCTAGAGGTGGGGCAGTCACGGTCCCTGCTCTTAAGGAACTGATGACCTGGTGGGGCCCTGTTACCTTCCAGGAACCCAGAAGCCACTGGGCCCCAAAGGTGGAACTGGAGGACTGGGGGCAGCCTTCTGGCTCTCAGCCTGCCACCTCTGCGCTGCCTGTCTTTTAAGAACCCCACCCCACCCCGTGGTGGTCCCCCCGCTTCCCTTGTATTTCAGTGACTGTGAACTGAGGTTAGGAAGGCACCTGCCCTTCTGTGTGTTCTCTCCGTCTGCCTTGGAAACACGAAGGATGACAGATACTGTGAATTCAGCCCTCACGGCCCACTGTGAAGGGCATGGAGAAGGCTGGGAGGGCTTGGGGGAGCTCTGAGGGGCTGTGGAAGTCCCCACTGGGGTCTGAGAGTGGAGCCCACACTTGGGTCCTCCAAGGCACCCCCAGTTTCCAGCCTCGCCTCAGAACCCCTGCTGCCTTGAACCACCAGAGCCACAGCCCCCTGGGTTTCTGCCTAACTCAAAGTCTTGAATCCTAGCTAGTTTGGGGTTAGTTGTGAGCAGTGTGTAGCAAAGCTGATCTCTCCATGTCGCCAAATCAAAACACCCTCTGTCTCCTTACAGCATTTCCTCTTGAGGTCACAGAGGGGAATGGCAAGCCCTGGCAACCTGTGCTGTTCTGTGTGGATTTGGCCTGGGGGGGAGGGCGGGCATGTCAATGTGAAGCCAGTTGGAGTTTGTGCTGTGCAGCAGTGTTAGCCAGGACCTCATCAGCGTGTGCAAACCTAGCATCTTCTGTGGCCACAAGCCACACACTTGCTTTTTTTTTTTGAATGTGATGTAAAAATTGTACAGTAAAGTTTTTATATTTTCTATCAACTGCATTTGTCTTCCAGACATGCTATTAATTTAAATTAAAATGGTTAGTATTAACAAACGTGCTGTATCGGTTTTTTTTTTGCCACTGGCAAGAACATGCCTTCTGTGCATGGGCTAAGCTGGGCCCGGGCATCTGGAGTTTGTGAATAAAGTTATACCAAGGTGTCCCGGGGCTCGTGTTTGCTTTGGTCAGTTCTAGATGAGTACGGAGGACCGTGTGGATGGATGGCATGGGAATGGATCTGGGGTGTCTGAACCCCTGGTCTAGGGATTAAGGAGCTCCTTCCAAAGGAAGAAGTTATGCCAGGACCTCAGCAGCAGTGTTTCTAAACAGATGGAGGAATGGAGATGGCATGGCGTCAAAGGCCACAATGCAGAGGAAGATCATCCAGCTCCCAGCAGCAACAAAGCCATGAGCAGACCATGGACTGGAGGTGCCTTAGCCTTATGGAAGCTTATGTGGCAGATTGAGGTGGTGTTCATCGAATCCAATTTCTAGGAGCCCCTCGTTGCCAGTTACACAGATAGGTGGAGAAGAGGTGCTTGATAAACGCCATCTCACTTTAATCCTCACAAGGCCACAAGGTGGCATGGAAAGAATTATGATGTTTCCGCTGAGGAAAATGTGAAACGGAGAGGATAAGGTGTTCGCCCTGGACCACACAGCTGCAGCGTGGCTAGTCCAGGACTCTGGCCTCGTCTTTGACTCCAGAACCTCTCAACGGAAGTCTGGGAACTTGTCAGATGTTTACTGAGTACCCCCTGTGTTCAAAAGATAGTGCTAAGTTGTGGAACATTTCCCAGGGTAGACCATGTGGTAGGCCACACATTGAGTCTCAACAGATTTAAACAGGTAACGTACAAAGCATCTTCTCCAACCACAGTAGGATGAAGTTAGGCAGCGACATTAGATTCTCACAGGAGCGCAAACCCTGCCGTGAACCGCACAGGTGAAGGATCTAGGTCATGCACTCCTTATGGGAATCTTTGAGTCTAACGTCTGATGATCTGGGGTGGAACAGCTTCATCCTGAAACCATCATATCTCCCTGTTCTATCCGTGAAAAATTGTCCTCTGTGAAACTGGTCCCTGGTGCCAAAAAGGTTGGAACCACTTGCGTTAAACTACTGGATTTATGGAGTGAAGCCAAGTAGTGTTTTGTCTTAGTCTGCAGGAGAGAGGTGCACTGGCAATTAGGAAGCAGTTAGAACCATGTATCTGACTTTATGGAGGCAGAATAAGCTCAGTGAGGATGTTTGTTCTCAGGAGGGGTGTGTGCATGCATGTTGCAGTGATTAATATGGTTCCATACGGCTGTACCTATACAATGAGGTTTCCAAAGGGAAGTGGACGAGAGGACCCAGAGTTCCCTGCATTGTACGACGGGACTCGGGCATCCACGGGCATCACTGACTGCCCTGCTGAGGGCCCACTGTGCTGGAGGCGTCACTGTGGATGGAAGGATTCCTTCGTGAGGAGCTCTACTACTGGGAAAGGTGAACGGGTCCGGGCACAGGATCGGTGCAGTCCGGGAGTAAATGAAGGTGCTGGTGCGTGGGCACTGCGTGCAGAGCTCAGCCCCAAGCCCTTTTCATGCATTCCCTCATTTCATCCCCACAGCCTCTCTCTAAGGTTCACATTCATTCGCCTCATTTTATGGGTGAGGAAAGGAAGCTTGGGGAAATGAAACTTACCAAAGATCGCACAAGAAGCAAATGACAGGGCCAAGATTCAAACGTGGGCCATTCCTACTATGTACAGCCCGTTATGTTCTCGGGGACCATCCATGTGTGGCATGTGCCAGCATTTCCTTCCTTTTTAGGGCTGAATTGTATGTCTAGCCCACATTGATCCATTCATCCGTTGATGGACACGCATCCGTCGCTTTCACCTGTTGGCTTTTGTGAATGATGCTGCTGCACACATGGGTGCACACGCACTCGGAGATTGAGTTCCTGCTTTCAGTTATTTCGGGTATGCACCCAGAAGCGGAATTGCTGGATCATATAGTAATTCTGTGTTGAGGTTTTTGAGGAACAGCCACGCTGTTTTCACAGGGTTCCAGTTTACCCACCTTCTATCCAACAGTTGTTATTTTCTGGGTTTTTTTTTTTTTTTTAAATCGTAGCCATCCTAATGAGTGTGAGGTGGCAGACTTAAATTTTGGAAAGATCCTTCAGTCTATGGGACAGAGAACAAAGGGCCTCCAGGAAGGGTCTGCGACTTTGAATACTCTGAGAAGGAACAGTCCCGAGGGCTGCTGCTCGTATCCGGAAGACCAGAGCTAACCCCTGGAAATGGATTGTGGTGACTGAAGGCTGCCGAAGTTAGAATTCTCAGTGGCCTGGCACTGTGCCTCAAAGCACCTCCCTACTGTGTCTATTAGTCTAAAAACACATTGGCCTTTGGGTATGACTGGGGCCCCTCCAGGCAGGGCGTGGAGCAGAGGGCCCTCCTTTATGGGCTGGACTAACTAGTGAGTTTGCTTACCTGTGACTCACCTCCAAGGCTCAAGGTGATACTAAGGTGCTAACTTGCTGGAACTCTTTATCTGTGCCTGTGTCTCCTTGGACTCTGGAAGATTTTCTCTTTTAGCAGTATTTTATGGAGATATTGTCTAGGTAGAGTAAAATGTACAGATCCTGGTTTTCTGTTTGAATTTTGTTTCGTTTTGAGACGGGGTCTTGCTCTGTCACCCAAGCTAGAGTGCAGTGGCACAATAGTAGCTCACTGTGACTCAACCTCCCAGGCTCAAGTAACCCTCCTGCCTCAGCCTCCCTGGAGCTGGGACCACTGGCCTGCACCACCATGCCCCACTAACTATTTTTTTTTTATTTTTAGTAGAGACGAGGTCTCGCTATGCTGCCCAGGCTGCTCTCGAACTCCTAGGCTGAAACAGCCCTCCTGCCTCAGCCTCCCAAAGTGCTGAGTGACAAGTACCAGCCACTGCACCCAGCCTCAGCCTGTTTTTAAGGAATGTAAACACCTGTGTGTCCACCACCCAGAAGCAGATCCAGAATATTTCCAGCCTCTCAAGAGTCCTTCATGCCCATGCCAGTCAGTGACTCCCAAGGGTAACGCCATTCTAGCCTGTTCATCTCGACCTGAATGGAAATCTCACAGCATGTGTCTGTTTGGATCTGGCTGCTTCTGCTCAGTTGGGAGGCCCGTTGATGTTTCCTGTAGCCTCACTCCTTTTTATTGCTGAGGCGACTCTTGTATGAAAACCACAATTCATTTCTCCCTTCTGCTGCTGGTGAAGATTTGCATTGTTTCCAGCCTGGGGCTACGATGAATAAAGTTGTTAAAAAACAGAAAAATATGTTTTTCTTTCCCTTGGGTAATTTTTTAGAAGTGGAAAAGCCAGAACATAGGAGAAGTCGGTATCTGGCTGTGTGACAACTCACCAAGCGGTTTTTCTTTCTATTTTTTAATTTTTTTGAGACAGAGTCTTGCTCTTTGCCCAGGCTGGAGTGCGGCGGCGTGATGGCGGTTCCCTGCAGCCTTGGCATCCTAGGGTCAAGCGAGCCTCCCACGTAACTGGGACCACAGGTGTGCACCACCACACCGGGCTAATTTGCTTTTTAAATTATATGTAGAGACAGGGTCTTCCTGTCTTGCCCAGGCTGGTCTCAAGCTCCTGGACTGGAGTGATCCTTCTGCCTCAGCCTCTTGAAGTGTCGGGATTACAGGCGTGAGCCACCATACCCCACCAGCTTTTCTAAGCTGGATTGTTTTCCACTCCAGTCTGCTGTGAGTGAGAGTCCCAGTTGTTCCGTATCCCAACCGGTCGGCGACAGCCTGCAAATGATGCGCATGATGAAATTGTTCCTGCTGTCCGTGGTGTCACAGAGGATTTCGAAGAATTTCCCTTCCTTTCTCTCTCTTCTGCGCCACCTAAACTGTCTGCTCCTTAAATTGGTCAAATTCTACTTGATCCAGGAACGTAACGGGGAGCATGCAGACGGCTCACATGCCGCAGCCTGGGGGAGCATCTCAGAGGCATTCGCCCGCAGGTTCTCGTGCATCTAGGCAGAGCACAAGATGGAAGAGAGGTGCAGACGTATGTATGGCCCTGCGCCTTCCCTCCCCTCGAGCCTGCACAGGCCTTTACCCGCCCATCCCAGCCTGTGTTCTGGGCCTTCTGGCCAGCACATCGCTGGGACCTGGTCGACTTCAGGGAAGTTTTTTCATGGCTCCCTCCCCACGCTGCAGCTTATCCTGTTATTCTCTGTTTCGACCAATCATTTCCCCTAACGCGGTGCTCAAGCCGATTAAAGGCAGTTCACGCCATACGTTCCTTCCCACCCACATGTCACCTGAAATGTTCTAGTGTGTCCAAGACTTATCCCCCCGTCCTAAGGCACAGAAAATAAGGATAGAGAAGAGAAGAAAGAGAAATTCACTGAGAGCGGGAGGATCAGAAGCTCCTGGGCACCCCCCACTCTAGAATAAAAATCTCCATTAAGGTGTTTTTCTTATAAAATATTCCCCTCTAAGTTATTATGTTTCTATATGAAGAATAGAAATTTAAAGAGGAGAAATAGTTTTTGAAGAGTCTGAGAATCTTCATATAACTCAGGCTGCCACAACGAATTAGCCGTGTGACCTGGGGCCTGTCCCTCAGACTCTGAGCCTCAGCTTCTGGATGTAGAATGGGTTGAAGCCTCCCTTCCTCTCCGGCACCCTACCCACAGGCAATACCCAGCCCCATTATTTTCTGGATTCTGTGACCAAGTGTGGTCAGGCTACACAGCCACACACTTCCGGGCAGTGTCATCTGGCAACGCACTGCTGTGTCAAGGTGGTTGGATATCGCAAACCTCTAAGAACCAAATAGGCTCTGGGCTCAGGGGTGGAGCCCAAAGCACAGGAGAGGGAGGAGGGAAAATCACCGGGGCTGGGAGTGCTCACTTCCCTCAGAGTATCACGCAGTGCTCTACCCAGCACCCTGCCTTTCCCTCTCTGGACCCACTTCCTCTTGCTGCCTGCTCCTCCCCATTGAATAACAGCCAAGTTGCTTTGGTTTCTATTTCTTTGTTAACTCCTTCCCTCTGCAGAGAACTGCCTGGCAGGTGTGAAAGGCAGCAGTGCCACAGAGGCAGTGGAGCGATGGCCTTCAGCGGTGCCCCGACTACCTACCTGAACCCAGTGAGTTCCGGGGCCGTGGGCGTGGGGCTGCCGCAGCCAGGGCTACACAGCTCTGGGGCTCTGAGGAAGCAGCTCCTGGGTGACGGGGATAGGGGCGGGGGCTTCCCAGGAGAACACAAGCAGGGCCAAAATGTCAGCAGGGGCATCCAGGCACACTGTGCCATGCTGAGCTCGCTCGTGCCCGGAGGGATGCTCATCGGCATGAGGCAAGGGTTTGCCGATGCGGACGGAGCTGTGCTGTCCTGTCCCGCGTGCTTCAGGGGAAGAGGTGTAGAGCGGGGTGCTTTGTATGAAGAAGGAAGCGTGCTTCCGGGGCAGTGAGAACCCGCTGGGTAGTTAAGGGTGTTAACTTTGGAGATGACCTCCCTGGGTCTGGCTGTTTGCTACCTGGTGGTCTCTGGGCCTCAGTTTCGCCATCTGTAAAGTGGGAATAATACTTGAGCCCCTCCCACTCCCAGGGGTGGGAGTTGGATTGAGGAGGTGGTGTATCTAGTGTTTGTGAACAGTGGCTGGCACCCTGCAGGTGCTTTGAGAGTGTTTCATGTTACTAGGCGTCTGGGGGCAGCAGGGAAGGCCCCCTGAGGAGGGGATTGTGCTCCAAAGGGTCGGTCAGTTAACAAGGCATGGGCATATTCAGGGCATCTGTGCAGGGATAGCCTCAGAGGTTGGGGGGCAGGGACCGTCCCTGCAGTGTAGGGTCACAGGGCAGCAGAGGCCTTGCTGAAACCCTGTGAGGGTTATGAGTCCCCTTCATACATGGAAAATCTGAGGTTCAGGGAGGCAGAGGCCAGTTGCCAAATGCCCCTAGATGGGACTGGCAACCCCAGGAGCCCAGGAGCCTTCAGGGGTCACTGTGTCCTGGGCCAGGTCCCGTCACAGGATCTCACCCTGCCTGGGCAAAGAGCTTCCTGAGGAGCTGGAGAGGGTGGGCTGATGGGCCCTTCCTGGGTGGGGAGGCGGGGTGGAGAGGGTGGACAGAAGCGGAGCGCTGAGGGCAGGGAAGCTGCCAGGACCACCTCAGCAGAGGCCAGGGTGGGGCCTGGGTGCCCTCTGGTGACATTGAGTCCAGAATGAGGCTGCCTGTGTTCTGGTCTGCAGAGCTCGGCTCTGCTGTCTAGACCCCAGAGAGGGAGAGGAGGGAAAGGTGGCCCGTTTCCTCCTGGCTGTCACCAACGACCTCTCAGCCACCCTGTGGAGTCCCCCGAGGTAGGACGTGCACGGAGGGGCCGGGGGAAGCTGGAACGAGCCCACCGGTGGGGGCTTAGGGTCGGCATGTGCCGCCTTGGGCACGTCACCCTGTCTCTGGTTCTCTGTCAGAGAGGCGATCCCAAAGCTTCTTCCAGGTTCCGACATACTGTGCTGGTGACTGGTTTTTACTTTCTAATCTTTGGATTCGGAAGGAGAATCCTCCTATGGGCATCAGAGAGTTTCAGAGAGTTAAAGCAGGGCCTGGAGTCTAGACAAGAAAGACGGGCAGTGCAGCCCCCATGGGTGTCCAGAGCTCTCCTCTACCCCACGAGGGCACCCCTAGGCTGGGACACTTAAGCCTCACTCGGTGACCCTCCTGGCAGCCGGAGCCACACTTCCTCCACACAGTGACAGTAGGAGAATGTCACGTAGTTCGCTGTCCTGCTGAGGAGGGCTGAGGGGCTGAGGGCCTGGCTTGGAAACCTCACTCTCACTTCCTGTCCGGGCTCATCTAACCCAGCCTCTTCTGAGGATGGCGGGAAGCTGGAACCGCCTGCTGTGTGGCCCAGGGAAGTACTGGGAGAGCCGGAATGAGGATGTTCTCAGCTCCTCATGAGAGGAAGCCTGTGTGGTAGTTAAAAGGGTGGGTGCTGGGGTTCAAATCCCAGCTCTGTTGCTGACCAGCTGTGTAGCTTTGGGCAAATTATGAAACTTTTCTGTGCCTCAGTTTCCTCATCTGTAAAAATGGCTGGTGCCTGTGAGGAGAAATGTTCCTGGTTGTGCCCAGAGACTTCATGGACACATGTGGATCCAAATGCCACAGCAGCCTTAGCTGGCCAACCTTAAAACAGCACGTTGCTCTTAACGGTGTTGGAGGTCAGAGGCTAAAATCAAAGTGTCATGGAAGGTGGCCCGCAGGACCGTGGAGCCTCTGAGGCAGCCGGGCACTCTGGCTAAGAGCCACAAACTGCCTCCTACTGTCAGTCTCGGCCAGCCAGGCTGAGCTCCCCACTGTCGGGGCCGGGCCTGGGTATCTGCTGGTAATGCTCAGTCCAGAACAAGGCTTCCCACATTCTGGTCCATAGGGCCCAGCTCTGCTTTCTAGATTTCCAGATAGAAAAAGGGGAGAAAGTCCCCAGTCTCTGGGTACAACCTGGAACAGAAAGCAAGTTCTGACTCAGCAGAGGGATCGAGTTATTTCAGGCAAAGAGCTGCACCGTCAAGTTGGACACGAGCCAGAGGCTCAGCACATGGCATCGCATCTGGTCCTCTCAGAATGCTGCCGGGTGGTGTCACTGTCCTACCATTCAGGGAGGGCACTGGGGCACAGGCCAGTCAAGTCACTTGGCATATATATATATATATATTTTTTTTTGAGACAGAGTTTCACTCTTGTTACCCAGGCTGGAGTGCAATGGCACGATCTCAGCTCACCGCAACCTCTGCCTCCTGGGTTCAGGCAATTCTCCTGCCTCAGCCTCCTGAGTAGCTGGGATTACAGGCACGTGCCACTATGCCCAGCTCATTTTTTGTATTTTGAGTAGAGACGGGGTTTCACCATGTTGACCGGGATGGTCTGGATCTCTTGACCTTGTGATCCACCCGCCTCGGCCTCCCAAAGTGCTGGGATTACAGGCTTGAGCCACCGCACCTGGCCACTTGGCCAATATCTGACTTGCCAGTGTATGGAGCTGGGAGGCGAGCCCAGGCCTGTGGGACCATAAATCCAATGCAAAAATCCATCCTCCTGCACCGCATGGAACAAAAGCGGGTCCAGTTGTTTTCCTGGGTTTCCTGCACACACAGCTCTAAATTCCACAGCAGCCTTGGCTGACCAATCTTAAAACAACAAATTTGCTCTCTTAATGATTCTGGAGGTCAGATGTTAGAACCACGTGTCAGCAAGGTTGTTTCCTTCCAGAGGCTCCAGGTGAGAGTCTGTTTCTTTTCCTTTTGCAGCTTCTAGAGGCTGCCTGCATGCCTTGGCTTATGGCCCCTCCAGCCATCTTTAAAACCAGCAGCTTTTAAAGATGCGGGGTGCAGTGGCTCATGCCTGTAATCCCAGTGCTTTGGGAAGCCGAGGCAGGAGGAGGATCTCTTTAGTCCAGGAGTTTGAGACCTGCCTGGGCCATGAAGTGAGACCACATCTCTATAAAAAATAGGCAAAAAGTAGCCAGGCGTGGTAGTGCCTGCCTGTAGTCCCCACAAACTGGGAGGCTGAGGTGGGAGGATTGAGTGAGCCTGGGGAAGTGGAGGCTGCAGTGAGCTGAGATCATGCCACGGCACTTCGTCAGCTCGGTGACGGTGTGAGATCTTGTCTCAAAACAAACAAACAAAAAAAACCAGTTGCTTCTTGCTTCTGTTGTCACATCTCCTGCCTCCGACTCTGATCCTCCTGCCTCCCTTTTGTAGGACCTTTGTGATTACATTGGGACCACCTGTATATGCAGGACAAGCTCCCTGTGCCAAAATTATTAACGTATTCACATCTGCAACGTCTCCTCTACAACATATTCACAGTTTCTGGGGATTCAAAGGTGGATGTTTCTGGGGTAGCCCACTGATAACCAGTGTTGTAAGTTTCCATAACTCCTTCCAGAGGTATTTTACATATAAATACATGCAAGTCCGTAGCCTTCTCCACCCACTTTTTATACAAATGGCATCATTCCATATCGGCGCTCAGAGTTCTCTCTTCCTCTTTTTCTTTCCTTTTAAAGCTACACGGAATCTATTATATGGAAATTCCCTAATTTATTTCACCTTTTTCCTGTTAGAGGACTAACAGGAAAACTCTTTCTAGTGCTTTGCTTTATAATCCTTCATGTCATAATGCTGCAATGAATAGCCTTGTTTGTAGGATGATATTCAATTTTAAATCCCTTTTTTCAGGCCGGGCAGGGTGGTTCATGCCTGAAATCCTGGCCCTTTGGCAGGCCCAGACAGAAGGATCGCTTGAGCCCAAGTGTTCAAGACTAGCCCGGGCAACACATAGAGACCCCATCTTTACAAAAACATTTAAAAATTCGTGGGGCATGTACCTATTTGGTCCCAGCTATTCCAGAGGCTGAGGTGGGAGGATTACTTGAGCCCAGGAGGTGGAGGCTGCAGTGAGCCGTGTTCACACCACTGCATTCCAGCCTGGGCAGCAGAGTAAGAACCCGTCTCAAAATAAAATCATAAATAAATAAAAATAAAATCTTGTTTTTCCGAATTTAGGAGCACCATTTAAGACATTTTGAAACCTCACAGAACTTTTTGGGGGAACTTGTTGCCTTAGAATTAACCTGTCCTGTCCCACCCCCATGATCTGTACCTGCTCTTTCTCCCTCCTGGATTCCTTAACTAAGCCTTGTGTGCACTTGAGAGCCCAGGTCCACCACGCCCTGCGTGTGGACAATTCTAGACACTGCGGTGTGAATATGCTGAAGTGGGGGCTGCATGCTTCCCAGGAGCATGTGTATTTGAAGCATCATTACTCATGATAGTATGACAGGCTCTGGAGAGAATCGCAGGCTTCCACAAACAGGCAAGGGGAAAAAGGTTCCCCAGACGTTTCAGGGACTACAGGCTTCCTGATCCTATGCCGTGCTGGTCCGTAACTGGATTACCCTGACTCTCCTTCCGTCACACCGCTGGTGTAGACAGGGACAAGAAAGAGAACTCAGAGACACCGTGAAGCTGTGATTTGCCTGAGGTCACTAAAGTACTTACTGGTAAGAAGTTCAGAGCTGACCCGAGGGGTAAGAAAAGATGCCCCCCCTCAAATCCGTGGGGAGCAGAGTCTGTCTGAATCAGATCCCAGATTTCCGGGGGGCTTTCACGGTGCCAGGCGTGTACACTGAATGAGGATGGGTTTCCCAGGGTTCAGTCACACAACTCAACAATACAGACCAGAAGGCAGTGGCCAGGAGGCTGAACTTGGCTGGTGGGTATTTTCTGTTTGGTCTGCACCGTGTTTCTTTTAACTTGTTATTATGGGAAATTCATACATGCAGAGAGAATTGTTACCATCGACAACACACACCGATCACTCTGCTCCAGCAATGACCAGCTCTTGCCTGTCTTGCTCCATCCTGTATCCTTACTCGCTTCCCTCCCCACCCTCAGACATGTGGAAGCAAATCCAAAGATATCATTCCATTGCAAATATTTCATTATGTATCTCTATAATATAGGAATTTGGGGGTTTCAAGACAGGATCTCGCTTTGTTGCCCAGGCTGGAATGCAGTGGTGTGATCATGGCTCACTGCAGCCTCCACCTCCCAGGCTCAAGTGATCCTCCCACCTTGGCCTCCCAAGTAACTGGGGTTAAAGGTATGTGCCACCACACCTGGCTTTTTAAAATTTGTTTGTAAAAATGGGGTTCCCACTCTGTTGCCCAGGTTGGCCTCTAACTCCTGGGCTTAAGTGATTATTCTGCCTCAGTCTCCCAAAATGCTGGGATCATAAATGTGAGCCATTGTGCCCAGCCAGAAACTTTCACATAATCCTTTTTGACAGATTTTTTTTTCCCCCAAGAAATGAAAGTTTTACAGGAAAAAAAACCACTCCAGATTTCTGTCTTCTCTTGAAAATGTGGAAGCTCTGCCAATACTGGGCCCAGATGGTCCTCACTGGTTAGAGCTGAGTAGAGGCTGCTTTTTTAGATGAGGGGTGTGACATCTACTCTGCCACAGTCCCCACCCTCCCTACCTGGCCATCTCTCCCTATCACTCATACACATCACCTGCCTGGCTCCTTTAGGCATTTAATTTGTGTAGGAAATTGACCTAAAGGAGATATTAGAGAAGACATTAAAAACTTGAAAAACAGACTGGGCGTGGTGGCTCATGCCTGTAATCCCAGCACTTTGGGAGGCGGAGGCAGGTGGATCGCCTGAAGTCAGGAGTTCGAGACCACCCTGGCAAACATGGAGAAACCCCATCTCTTTTAAAAAAATATATATATATATATATATATATATAATTTTTTAAAGAGAGAAAAACTTGAAAAACGTGAAAATCAGATAGGAGACAGAACTGTGCTTTAATGCGGGTTATAGAATCACATTGGATATGAGGCGTTTCAGAAGTAAACTTTGAAAATCAGAAAGTTCCAGTTTGTGAATTTTGCTCAGAGAGACCAGGGGTGGTTGGGGGGGGTGGGTAGGCGGCAGTGAGAAGCAGCTCCTGTGTGCCAGTCTCTTGCATCGCAAGCTGCTTCTCATGAAATCACCCATCATACGTAGCAGGAGAAACAGCTTCCTATTTTACACATGAGGAAACTAAGGCAGAGAGGTGGAACAGGCTTCCCAAGGCCACTCAGTCATGAGCAGCAGAGCCAGGATTCAGACCTGGAGCTGGCCTGACTCTTAACAAGGCACGCCTCACCATGACCCATGGCTCCTTTAAAGAGGTGTGGAAAAGAAAAGAGAATTTGACAAAAGTGGTTGCCCATGAGGCCTGGGATGGGTGGGGAACTAACTACGAGAGGGCTTCGGGGGTGCAGAAGGCCCGAGGGAAGGAGTGGGGAGCATGAGGGCAGAAGTAGAGGAGAGGCTGCCTCAGGGCTGCAGAGGGCATGGGGAAGAAGCTCTGCTGCAGGTGGCCCAGAGGGCAAAGGTCATGGTGGCCATTGTTATATGGTGGTGGTGGGGAGAGGACATGCCTTCTTGACCCTCTTGGGTGACCCTGTTGGTGGACCCTCCAGACTCTTGATGGGTCCTTTTGGTCCCATGGGCCTCCCGAGTCCCCAGCCAGGGTCCCAGGGCCTTCGCTGGGAACTTGACACGGGGTCCAGCAGCCCCCATTGCTACCTAGTTCCTTACCAGCCCAGGGCCTCTGCATGCTGCCTCCCTGCCTGGAAGGAAGGCCTTCCGCCGGCTGCGTTCCTGATGTGGCTTCCACTGCCTCTCGGACTCTCCTGCAAGCTCAGCTGCCTGAGAGGCAGGAAATTGACCTGAGTGTAGGAAATGGACCGAAAGGAGATATTAGAGAAGACATTACGCTCTCTGATGGCTCCTCTCAGGGCCAGGCTTCTCCTTATCACAAGCTTAGACTGTCTGAGTAACTTAATTGGATTTGTGTCTGCTCCACATGGGACCCTAAGACCCGTGGGCTGAGACTCCATCTGTCCTGGTCACAGCCGCACCCCAGCCTCTCACATGGTCTGTCACACCCAGGCCAGACACTGACTAGTGCTAGAGGGGAACAGACACAAGGCTGGCCCCCTGACTGACAGTCCCACACCTTCTTCCTGCAGCCCGTCCCCTTTACTGGGACAATCGAAGGGAGTCTCCAGGACGGACTTCAGATCACCGTCAGTGGGACCATCCTCAACTCCAGCAGCACCAGGTGTGTATGTGGATGGACATGTTTCTCTCCAGCCTCGTCCTTAGTAAATCACTGCGCCTGTGAGCTTGGGTGAGTTCAAACAGCAACATCCAAGCTCACATGCCTGGCTCAGGGAGGCCCAGCGCATCCCTAACCCACGCTGCAGGGCACCACCCGGCAGTCACCACCTGCATCCAGGGCTGCCATTCACCTGGACTCCAGCACGAATGGGGCCCTGGGAGCTGACAGTCTAAGGAGGGAGTGGGGGGGTCAGAGGCGGATGATTATGTTCTGGGTTGAACCTGGTACACTGTGACTGAGAGTTGCAAAAACAAAACTTCCTTCAATTTCGTTTCAATTTTGAATGAAAACATTCAAAATTGCCATTAAAAGTGATTTGGTCTCATTTGGTTTCAAGGCCTTTTCTGGAAAATGCTAAGCCAATTCAAAATACCAACATTGAATAAGGTTTCCCACCCCTCCTCCTCCCAAGGTGGGCTGTCTGGGAGCAGAGAGGAGCTCACACATCTTCTCAGGGGCTGGGAGGGCCCCGACCCTCACGCAGGCCTGGCTGACCCCCACTGACGCACCCCGACCGGGTGGCACAGAGGTGTGCAGTCTCTGCTGGTTTGGTGGTGACCCTGGCTGGCTGCCTGCAGGGCCCACCATAGAGCCTCTGGACTCACTGATCTCTCAAAGAAAAAAAAAAAAAAAATTATGCTCTAAAGGCAAAATGTAAAAATTGACAAAAATACATTAGTTTCAAATTAGAGGAACAAAAAGGATGCCAGCCGAGCGGTCTCCGGCACGCAGGTTGTGCTTGAGATCCCAGACAAATGCCAGGCAGAGGCGCGGAGGCCCTTCTGTGCCCATCACTGGCAGTAAACCATGCTACAGAAGACTGTTTGCTTTCCTGGGCCTAGGTTTTCTGTGGACTTTCAGACCGGCTTCAGTGGAAATGACATTGCCTTCCACTTCAACCCTCGGTTTGAAGAGGGAGGGTACGTGGTGTGCAACACGAAGATGAATGGAAGCTGGGGGCCCGAGGAGAGGAAGAGGGAGCTGCCCTTCCAGAAGGGGATGCCCTTTCACCTCTGTTTCCTGGTGCAGAGCTCGGATTTCAAGGTGAGCAGGGATCTCCTCCCCACCTCTCACCCTGGACCCTGGCCCTATCTGGTGAATGGCCTCTACTTAATTTTCTTAACTGACATTCAGAATACAGATAACACCACCATTTCCTTGTAAGGGTGTTTCCCGTGGAGGCATCACGTGGCTGTTTGCTGTTGTGTGTCTTTGAGTTCCAAGTTAATTCCACTCCTCTGTTATCACCATTCCTGCTCTCCAGGTCCCTGATAATATTTATTTTTCAGCGACATTGTTCCAGACTTTATCCAGGGTCTATTAAGGGTATAATTATGTAAGCACATTACAGATTACCTTTGCAGGCAGAGTAGGTCTCTGAGCTCAAGAAGCAGGCGGGTAAGTCCGTCCGGGTATGCTTATCTGAGATAAGGATGTTCCCATCCACTCAGTATGCCACCCGAGGTGCCTCTCCTCTGCTCCCTGTGAGCATTTTATGCCTATTTACATAGTACCCCTGCAGCCATAAAACGGAACGAGATCATGTCCTTTGCAGGAACATGGATGGAACTGGAAGCTATTATCCTCAACAAACTAACGCAGGAGCAGAAAGCCAAGCACCGCATTTTCTCACTTATAAGTAGGAGCTGAACGATGAGAACACATGGACACGGGGGGGAAGCAGCGCACGCTGAGGCCTGGCGGGAGAGGGAGAGCCTCAGGAGGAATAGCTAACGGATGCTGCACTTGATACCAGGGTGATGGGTTTATCTGTGCAGCAAACCACCATGGCACACGTTTACCTAGTTAACAAACCTGCACATCCTGTACATGTACCCTGGAACTTAAAAGTTGAAGATGCTGGATGCTGCAGCTCACGCCTGTAATCCCAGCGCTTTGGGAGGCCGAGCTGGGCAGATCGCTTGAGGTCAGGAGTTCAAGACCAGCCTGACCAATACAGTGAAAACCCATCTCTACCAAAAATACAAAAATTAGCTGGGCATGGTGGTGGGCACCCGTAATCCCAACTACTTGGGAGGCTGAGGCAGGAGAATCGCTTGAACCACTGCACTCCAGTCGGGGTGACAAAATGGCCCTCAATCTAAAAAAAATAATAAGTTGAAGGAAAAGTAAATAAATAAATAAAACCCCAGGTGAGCTAAGACTAGAAAGACAAGCCTCCTGCAATAAACAGCTGTGAGAACTAAGAGCCCAACAACTAGAGCAAGTGGAGACGGGTTGACGCCCTTCAGATCACACGCACGTTCTTGTAACCTATAACCAGCCCCACACTGCAGGCCTGACTCAGGTCTTCATTCTCTAGAAGGAGGCGTCCAGGAGCTTAAAGTGGTCCCCATCCCATCCTGGGCTGCCTCCCCCAGGACACGTGCTCTCCTGTGGCAGGTGATGGTGAATGGGAGCCTCTTCGTGCAGTACTTCCACCGCGTGCCCTTCCACCGTGTGGACACTCTCTGCGTCAATGGCTCTGTGCAGCTGTCCTCCGTCAGCTTCCAGGTCAGATTGTCCACCTGGCTCCGGTCCCAGGGGCCGGGGTGCAGGGCCCAGTGTAACTGTGCCCAGGCCCTGCTGGGGGACCCAAGGCCGCCAGCCAATCTCCTACCCAGGTGGCTCTGGGGACAATCTCTGGTGCCCTGTCCCAGTGTCTGCCTGCCCTTTCTCCTCTGTCACTCTGCCCCTCCTTCTGTGTCACTGTCTCTGTCCGGAACACCTGCCTTGGTCTCCCAGACTCCTCGGCTGCCCCCTTCTCTGCACCCCTCAATTTCCACCCCGGTTAGGAGGCCATACTGTTCCAGAAAGAGCCCAGGCTCAGGAACCAAACTGAATCCAGTTCAGATTCCCAGCGCTGCGGTTCATCGTCCGAGGGATCTTAGACAAGCGACTTCCCCTCCCCTAGCCTCGGTTTCCTCATCTGTAGATGAGATGATCACTGCCTGCCCCCCATGGGTGGTTCAATGAGGAGACGGATGTCAGAGGTCACACAATGGCCTGCCTGGGCCCACACTAGGGTCTCTTTGACCTCTGTGTTTTAAAAACTTTGAATGTGTTGCCAACAAGTTCAGGAGAGCCAGATATGGTGGTGGAGGTCTGTAATACCGGCTACTCAGGAGGCTGAGGTGGGAGAATCACTTGAGCCCAGGAATTCAAGTTTTGCCTGGGCAACATAGCAAGACCCCATCTCTAAAATAATTTTGTTTGAATAATAACATAAATAAAACTAAAGAAGGTCAGGAGATACTAATACCAGGTGAAAAAATGGGAAGATTAGGGGATGCTGAGCCCACATGCCCACAAGCAGCCGGATGGGAGCCGCTGTTACCCTTTTGGCATTCAAGGGAGCTCCCTGAGATGAGAGAAGCACAGAGTAGGCCCTCAGCACATCTGGGCTCCTTGCCCTTTGAGCCTCTTCCCTCCTTCCCTCTCTCCCCTGTGGGTGGAAGTGGGAAAAGAGACGGAGGGAGACAGCCCCCTGCGCTGCTCACTGGAACTGGCCCTTGCCCCTCCCACCTCTGTGTGGCCCTCACCTGCTTGTTGCATCCCCCTCCCTGCCTGGTCTCTCCCTCCTGACCCTGCCTCTGCCTCTCAGCTTCTCCTTGGCTCCATTAATGCCTCTCCTCACCGCCCGGTGCCTTTTGTTTTAACAGAACACCCGCGCAGTCCCTGTTCAGCCTGCCTTCTCCATGGTGCAATTCTCCCAGCCTGTCAGTTTCCCACCCAGGCCCAAGGGGCGCAGACCAAAAGTGAGTTCAACACAGAGGCCCTGGGTGGCTGAGCAGATAGCAGGAAGGACCGGGGGTCTGAGAGGCTGGCTCTAGCCAGCAGGCCACCCAGGGACTACAGGCCCCATCTTGCCCACCCAAGAGTTCCCTGTCTGTGTCCGCCAGGCGACCAGAGCCGGGGACCTAGGAGTTGCCCTGGATTCTTCACTCCCCCTTCTTTATGTCTCTCCAAGGCACCAACGTGTCTCCCTCCTGAAGCCACCAACGTGGCCCGGGCCTCTGAGTTTCCTCACCGTGACAGCAGTGGTCCAGCTCCCCACCCCCCCACACCCAACCACTGCCACAGTGACCTTCTTGTGAGCAAATCTGGTCACACCGTCTCCCTGCTTATAAATCTTAAAAGCCCCAAACCCTTCTAAATGAAGCCCAAATTCCCCAGCAGAGTACCTTGTATACGGATTCCACCCCAGTCAGTCCCCAATCCACCTCCCTGCCTCACCCCCAACCTACGAAGCTCACACAGCCTCCGAGCCTCACTCGAGGCCCTCCGGGGGCCACCATGCTTTTGCACATGCAGTCCCTAGTCCCAGAAGCACCCTCCCCCAGCCTGCCCCCAGCACACGCCTCAGTGCCCTTCCCTGCTCTGCCTACGTGTCGCTTCCCAGACTGTTGTTGGACCCTCCCCCGCGTCTCCATGGACTCTGTACATATCTGTGGCATGCCAGTTCACAGCACCCCATTGTAACTGTGTGTGCATGTCTGTCCCTGTCACTCCACCCCCATCTCCCTGTGCCCATGAGGCCCCAGAGGGCTGGGAGTGTGGCTTTTTGACTTGCACAGTGCCTGGCACTCAGTAGGGTCTCAATGAAAGAATGAATGTGGAATGCGATTCACACAGCCAGGGAGAATGGGATCCCAGACAGGCAACAACAGTCTGCTGGGTGAGGCAGGACCCAGGACAGGAGGCAGGCAGCCCTTCCTCTGCCACTCAAGCAGTGGGGACTGGGAGGAGGGGCGCTTTGTCTCCGAAGCCTTTTTATGGCCCATCACGGTACAGACAGCGCACCTGCCTCCTGCCACGCTGACTTCAGGACTGGTGGAGCCCCAAGGAACATTTGCAGGGCAGCCCAACTTTGGCCCTGGCCCTGGGGAGGATACAGAAGGTGTGGTGGATACAGTCAGGCAGAACTGGCTGCCATTTTGGATTTGATCCCTTCCACTTGGGAGAGCTTGAGCAAGTGGCTTAATCTTTCTGAGTCTCATTGACTCACCAGTGACACAGGAGCTGAGGCTGCTTCCCTCGTTGGAAAGCACCCCAGCCCAGGACTCGGCCCACAACAGGCCTTCGACAAATACCACTTCTTCCTTTACGGTTGAAATGACACTGGATGTAATACTCTTGGCTCTGGGAGCCACAGAAAGCAATGAGGTCTCTATCAAATCCATCCTGCTCTCTCTCAAGAGGAACCAATGGGATACCCTATCCCCCAACCCCGAACCCCTGCGCACCTGGGGTAAGCATCTGGTGCCACGGGCTCAGGAAGGCTTGCTTGGGAGCGAGTGTGTCTGGGGAGGCGTTTCTGAGCACAAGAGCCTCCCTGGAGTTCTGCCAGTGTCTCTCCCTGTTCTGTGGTGCCAGCGTTAACCACCGTTCTGACCTCGTCTCCCCTGCAGCCTCCCGGCGTGCGGCCCGCCAACCCGGCTCCCATTGTAAGTCTCTTGCTTTCTTTTTGGATCCTCTTCATTTTGGCTCTTCTTGGGGGCTCCTGGAGGCGGCAGGACCAGGCACTGGGCCTCTCCCATCAGAGGCCAGGCCCTTGACCGTCTGCCCGGCTTGGCGAGGCTGGAGGGTGGATGTGGTTGGCTGGGCCTGATGAAGGAACCCGAGTTGCCGCTCCGTGGGCAGCCACGGAAGACAGTGGCCCCACATTCACTTCTCCCGCCAACAAAGGGAGGCTAGACTGAGACGTTTCCCCGAGAGGAAAGATGGACCAGAGCCCCCAGCGTCCCCATCTGTCTTCTCCAGGGTTCTAACCTTTGCCCCTCCCTCATCCCCTTGAGAGAAGAAACACCTGGACCCACCCTTTGTGGGGTCTGTGGGGCCACTGGGCTGGTTACCACCCTGGGAGGTGCCTGCCGTGTGGCGCCCTCTGGTGGGAGCTGGTGGTCTTCACATGGGAGAGCCTGGGTGAGACCTGGTTTCTTTCTTCCAGACCCAAACCGTCATCCACACGGTGCAGAGCATCCCTGGACAGATGTTCTCTGTAAGTCTACAAGTTCTGGTCAGTTCATAGCTGCCCAGTGTCCTCCTTCACCAAGAGCTAAATTCCCCAGAGCCCTAGAGTCGGGAAGAAAGGGGTTAGCAAGGAGGATGGGGACATCTGGGGCTGACTCCTTGGCTCTTGGGACATGTGGCTAAAGCTGTCCTTGGGACAGCAGAGGTTCTGGAAGAAGCGGGACTTATCCAGTGGTGGACGAGACAGGTTCCCTAGAGATCAGGAGGGAAACTGGCCCTTCTGTGACCCAGTGGGGAATGCAGAGGCCCCAGCACCCCGATGTGAGCTGAATCCTGGGTCCCTGGGATGTCACTACTGATCACAGGCTTAAGCTTTTCTCTTTCTTGTGCAAATCAGGCAGGGGCTTATCGTTAGTGGGGCTGCCTGTTGCAGGTGACCGTGGTGGGGTCCGGGAACATGGCAGGAAGTTCCAGGACAGCTAACACGAAAAGGGAGGTAGATGGGAGGGTCCAAGGGCCAAAGCCTCACGGGGTCAGCCTCACAGTGGAGCCCCCTCCAGAATGTGTGGGTGGCGTGGGGAGCGCTGTGCACACATGCGCTCTCCCATTGAATTTCCTGGTCTCTTCCACAGAATCCTGCCATCTCACCTATGATGTACCCCCACCCAGCCTATGTAAGTGGTTTCTCAGGGAGGGCGGGGCTTCTGTTTGTGGTGGGCAGGCTGCGGGTGGAGGGCAGCTGCGGGAGGACCCGCTGGCCTTGCAAAATTACAAGCTATCCTTTGGTAAGCTGAAGTTCTTCAGAGCATCCCAGTGAATTAGGAGACGGTGGAGAGGAGCTTCCAACCTTCAACTGTCAAGTCAACGCGAGCACATTGCACTACCCTCCCTTTCACCCCACGAGCCTCTGTGTGTTTCGCCAAAGTTCCTTTTATGACACTGAACTAAGCCCATTAATTTAAGGAGCACTGGAAAGTTTTCCTTTGGCTTTTCCTGAACCAAGTAAAGATGTTCTGGGCTTCTCAGCTGACAGCCCAACTTCGTGGACACTGGCACAATAGTCCCCTTCCTCGTGACGGCTGCGCTGGCTGCCACTGGCTGACTTGTCCCCCTCCTTCCGACAGCCGATGCCTTTCGTCACCACCATTCCAGGAGGGTTGTACCCATCCAAGTCCATCATCCTGTCCGGCACTGTCCTGCCCAGTGCTCAGGGGTAAGCCAAGGGCTCCAGTGGCCTCTGGGAAGAGAGAGTCCTTCCGGGTCATTCCGGCCATTCCCCTGGCTTTGGGCAGGCTGCGGATGATGGGAAGGAAATGAGGCCCAGAGCCCAGGGGACAAAGGTCCAGGTAAGCTCTCCCCGCAGGTTCCACATCAACCTGTGCTGTGGGAGCCACATCGCCTTCCACCTGAACCCCCGTTTCAATGAGAATGCTGTGGTCCGCAACAGCCAGATCAACAACTCTTGGGGGTCTGAGGAGCGGAGTCTGCCCCGAAAAATGCCCTTCACCCGAGGCCAGAGCTTCTCGGTAAGCCACCGCGGTCTGGAGCTTGGAGAAGCTCCTCTGGGTGCACAAGGGGAGGAGGTGAAGGAGGTCAGGGAGACCTTGAACAGGGTGGGAGCTGATGCCTCATGATGAGGGCCCAGAAGAAGAGAAGATGGCCAACAAATTATGATTATTTTTAACTGTCCCAGATGAAGGAAGTGTTGGGATCTGCTTTTTACAGATGAGGAAGCAAATTCACAAGCGCAGGTTACTTGCTTGTGGTCACAGCCAGTGCATGTCCCGTTAGAACCAAGCAGGAGCTGTTATTCATTTCTTCGCTTATTCGTTCAACAGCTATTTTATTGTGGCCCACTTTTTGCCTGAAGCCCCCCACATGCTGGGGGCGCAGTCATGAGCAGACAGACAGGGTTCTGGCTGCAGGAAGTTTACAGTTTAGGTGGGGAAGGAACAAGGAAACTAAAGACGAACAGATTATCGCAGATAAGGACAGTGCCACGCAGAAAGCATAACAGAGCAATGAGACAGCGAGGCTGGGAGGGGCAGCTAGGGCCCGAGTGCAGAGGCGCGGGTGTGGCCTGGCCAGGAACAGCAGGCAGGCGTGCACCGCCCTGACTACACATTCAGATCACCCAGAGGGCTTACAAAGGAAACATCAGTAAAGTTTGTCTTTTCCTGAACCAAGTAAAGATATCATGGGCTTCTCAGCTGACAGCCCAAATTCTTGGACCCTGGTACAATATTCTCCTTCTGCATGGCGGCTGTGCTGGCCGCCACTGGCTGACCTGTCCCCCTCCTTCTGGCAGCCGATGCCTTTCGTCACCACCATTCCGGGAGGGCTGTGCCCATCCAAGTCCATCGTCCTGTCAGGCACTGAGGCAGTCGGCCTGAGCATTCGTATTTTTAAAACATGCTTAAGCGATTATACTCTGCAGTCAGAGTGGGAGATGACTGACATAGGGCTTTGCGGCCGTGGAAAGGAGCTTGGATTTTAACACGGTGAAAAGCCACAGGAGTGTTCCAAGCCAGGGAGCAACACTCTTTGATTTGTAGATAGCTGTGTGACCTTGGGCAAGTGACTTAACTATTCTATGCTTCCGTTTCCTCGTCTGCAAAATGGAGCTAATAATAATATGAGTCTCCTAGAACTGTAAGAAAGGAGTGAGACAGTGTCTGTAACGTGCTTAGGACAGTGCCTGGCACATGGTACATGCGATAGAATGTTAGCTATTGCAGAGGGCAGGAGGTTTTAACATTTGTACCCGACTGCCTCACGGAGGCGGCACTGGGGTGGAAAAGACAAGTCAGGAGGCCGATGATGCTGCAGGAGCCCGGGCACCGAGCCCTCCTGTGTGCTGGGTCTGAGGGATAGACAGCACAGCCAGCGCTCCCGTCCCTGATGGGGTGGGATCAGTGTTCTAGGCCAGGGAACAGCAGGGGAAAGAGCCTGTTTAGTGAAGAGCCGATCACTCGGTGGGGACAGAGTGCAGGTGAGAGGCTTATTAAGGTTTGGGGAGAGAGGGAGGCCGGAGGCGGCAGTGAGGGTGGAGGACTTCCCAAGGGTAGTGCAAACGGCATGATCTCCGCACAGGTGTGGATCTTGTGTGAAGGTCACTGCCTCAAAGTGGCCGTGGATGGCCAGCACCTGTTTGAATACTACCATCGCCTGTGGAACCTGCCCGACATTAACAGACTAGAAGTGGGGGGTGACATCCAGCTGACTCACGTGCAGACATAGGCAACTCCCTGGCCCTGGGGCCCGGGGCTGAGGTGTGGGGTCTGGGGTCTGGGTCTTCTCATCATCCCCACTGCCCAGTCCCACCCTTTCCAACCCTGCCTGGGACCTGGGCTGTAATGCAGGGGCCATGTCGTTGTCTGGTCCTGCTTCTGGCTACATACAGCCACCCAGAACAGGGAAGGCAGCCTTCCTCAGCTGGGCCAGCACCTGGGGCTCCAGCTGCCCGAATCCTACCATCCCAGGAGGTGGGCACAGTGGGCTGGGGGAAGGGGGCAGTGAAGATGAAGCCCCATGTGCAGTCCCCTCCCATCCCCCCCACAGCACCACCCCAGTCTCAAGCCTCTAGCTGTCCACTCCTGGTGAGAGGTGACCTCCTCAGCCCCTCCTCTCTGACCTTTAACCTCACTCTCAGCTTGTACCCTGCACCAACCCTTCACCCCCTCCAGGAAGGCTAGCCTGATGGCATCCCACTGGCCCCCACCAACTGACTGGAATGTTCTCTTCAGGGGATTGGCTTCTTTCCCGGTTTCCTTAAATAAATGAAAATGCTTATTGGCACACTCGTGTGGGTTGGCCATGGCTTCTTTCATTCATTTGGAGACATTTCCGAGTCTGTGAATCGGGCAGGGGAGCCTGCCGAGAGGAGGCGGAGGGGAGAGCCTAGGCTCCCTTTGGGCAGGGGGTCCTGACCTCCACCCCTCCTCTCAGAGGCTCCCTCACAAATCCCACAAGGGTGTTGGAGAAGCAGGCTGGGGCTCGGGCCTCTTGGGCAGGAGTCTCGGACACAGGGAGTTGGTAATGGGGGGCCCCAGGAAACAGCCCAATGCCTTCGAGATGGGAGAGGGGCTGGGGCGGAGCCTGTAAGGGCCACTGCAGGGCCAGAGCTGGCTCCTCAGACCGGGCGTCCCAGTGGGAGGAGGTGTCTTGCAGATGGGGGGTCAGAAGTCGACCTGAAGCTTCGTCTGGTGTGTGTTCCACTGTGGGTCTCCCGCAGGGAGGGGCATTAGGTGTTAGGGCTTACATGCAGAAAGCGTCTCTGTGTCCCTGTGTGGGGTTCTGCCAGCCACTGAGCCTTGCCAGACAGCCCAGCTCCGCATCCATGTGATGCCAACGCCTCCTGCTGGGCCCAGTAAGAATCCAGCTCCTCAGGCCCCAGCGTCGTCCCCAGAGCAGGACACCTGCAGCCCCGGGAACTTGCTGGAAACGCGGCATCCCACCCCCTGCCGACCTGCACAGTCAGTCTCCGTTTTCACAAGACCCCCAGCGAGGTAAGCACATTAAAGCTGCCCTTCGCCGGGTGCGGTGGCTCACACCTGTAATCCCAGCACTTTGGGAGGCCGAGGCGGGTGGATCACGAGGTCAAGAGATCAAAACCATCCTGGTCAACATGGTGAAACCCCATCTCTACTAAAAATACAAAAAATTAGCTGGGCATGGTGGCGTGTGCCTGTAGTCCCAGCTACTCGGGAGGCTGAGGCAGGAGAATTGCCTGAACCCAGGAGGTGGAGGTTGCGGTGAGCTGAGATCGCGCCATTGCACTCCAGCCTGGGTAACAAGAGCGAAACTCCGTCTTAAAAAAAAGTTGAGATGCCCTGGTCCGGGAGCGGACTCCCGGCCATGGTGCTGAGATGCACAGGGCACGGAGCTCCCAGGAGCCAGAGGCCAAACCCGAGATGGGAGCCGTGTGTTGCCAGGTCCCCAGGGGCCCCCTCGAGCTCCTTCCTCGGTTCTGACAGGAGAAGGAAACGGGGCTCAGTCTCTTAAGAGGTCTTCCCTGGCTGGCTCCAAACCCAGGAGGGACCCCATCCCGTGGGGTGAGGATGCTGTGGCCACACTCGCCTGGACACGCTGCCTTCCCCGGGGCCACACCCATACTGGCCAAACTTGAATGAGACAGGTGGCCCCAGAGCAAAACGCTAAGACAGTGTCCGGCCAGGCGTGGTGGCTCACACCAGCACTTTGGGAGGCTGAGGCGGGCGGATCACAAGGTTAGGAGTTTGAGACCAGCTTAACATGATGAAACTCTATCTCTACTAAAAATACAAAAATTAGTCGGGTGTAGTGGCACGTGCCTGTATTCCCTGCCACTCAGGAGCCTGAGGCAGAAGAACCACTTGAACCCAGGAGGCAGAGGTTGCCAGCAGAGCCAAGATCACACCACTGCACTCCAGCCTGGGTGACAGCGAGCCTTTGTCTCAAAAAAGAAAAAAAGAAAAAAGACAGCGTCCAAGAAGCTCCAGGACCTCCCCTGCAGTGCTGGCCTCATGTAAGAATCCCACCCTCACCGCACCCCACGTCAGATCCTGTGAATGGGAGGCAGGCCCGCGGCCCCCGCCCGACCACAGGTCTTTGGATCATCACGAAGCTCCATCTGCTGCCCTCTCCTACCTGACAGCCATTTCAGAGGAGCCGTGGCCTGCCTGGGTGTCCCTCTGTGGGGGTGTCTGTCCAGGCCACAGCCCCCCATTCTGAGGTGAGTTTTCCCTACAAAACACCCACACACACATACAGAGCGATTAAAATAAAATGCAATTCATATAAATATCTCCATCAAGGAATCATACAGGGAAGGCCCAAGTGGCCGCTGGGAACAGTCTGGGTGTTAGTTTTTTAAATACAGAGGCATAAATAACTGTACACAGGGCAGTTAAATACACAGTGGCACGACAGCACCCCCTGGTAGTCACTTGCAGTGATGCACTCAGTAGCAGGTTCCATCTTTACCCACTTGCCAGGCCTGGCATTGAAGATTTCATCTCCGAGGAACCAGGGAGGCCCCAGCTTGAGAGAGAAGGTTCTGACCAATCCAGGGTGCTACTTGGCAGGTCAAGTAAAGGGCTTGATGGGGAATGAGGTGAGGAAACAGGATGTGAGGCTTCGGCATATCGCTTTCCTCCGTCTGCCCAGGCCCTGTGGCCTCGGATAACGGCAGAGCTGGCTCCGTGGTTACGTTCTGTGCCGGGAGCTTCGACCCCTCAGTGCGCCGTCAGAGCGCGGACATCTCCAGGCTGCTGGGCTGCACCGCCGCCCTGTCCTTCGCCTCGTAGGGAAATACAGCACCAAAGATATCTTCATGATAGCGCTTCTGACTCTTAAGTGGAGGCAGAGACCAAGGTGTCAAGTCCAGGCTGGGATGAGCCCCTGGGGTTTCCCAGCTTCTCTATCACGTGGACCTTCCCGAGCCATCTGTCTCCCCACTGTCATACTTAGACTCTAACCCCCGCTCAGCACCCGCTCTGGTGCAGGCCCTGTCGCCATCGCGAAAGCTTTACTTAGCATTCCCATTTCCTGCCAGCGCCCGCTGCCCACCCAGGATGCTCCAGGAAGTATGAACTCTGCGATAGACGTGTTTGGGAAATGCTACGTCCTTTCTCTTCTCCCAGCCTTGCAGGTCCCGAAGCACAGCCGCATGTTGAAGGCTCCGAGAAGTCTTGGAGTAAAGCCACAGTGCCTGCCTTGGCTGAGCTAAGCATGTCCCGGACTATTTGACTTTGGGACATTTTGGATGCCAAAGATCTACCAACCCATTCAACACATTTGGGGAAATGGTGTTATCTCCTCACTGTTCTTCAAACAAGCCAGGTGAACTCCCACCCGGGTCTTTGTGCCTGCTGCCCCCTCCAGAACAGCCCAGGGTGTTTCCTTCAGTATCCACGGGGCTCCTCCTCACCGCCTCAGGCCTATTCTCAAACTTCCTTCCAGTTCCGCCTTCCCTGGCCACCCTGTTTTAAATGACACTCCCCAGCGTTCCCCGGGCTGCTTCCCTGTTTTTCTCTGAAGCCCCACACCTCTTCCTTGTTTGGGTTTGTCAGCCCCCGTAGAAAGTAAGGAATTTTTGCCTGTTTTGTTTACTGTTCTATCCCTAGCACATAGTAGGTGCTCAATGAATGTTCAGTTGAACGTACAAATGTATGGAAGTGACAGTCACAGGCTTTGGAACCAGAGAGAGGCAGACTGAACTCTAGGCTCTCACAGTCCCTGCTGTGGCCCCCATAGGCCCCCTTCCCTCTGTCAAACAGGGTGCCTCCCTCAAAGTTCTCGGCAGGACTGAACGAAATGCCACATGAAAATCCTTGGCAAGCACTAGGCCCAGTGTAAGCCCTTGTAAATATCAGTATTATCTTCATTATTAAAACCCCATCCCTTCCTGCCGGGTGGATGAGGGTGAGTAGATGCCAGCCTGGCTGGAAATAGGAAGTGTGAGGCTCACTCGAGCCTGATGGTGGGGCCGGCCTCGCTCTCCCCAATGCTCACAGCCTTGCTTTGGCTACACAGATACTGTCTGAAAGGGAAGTTTGGGGAGAGGCCAAGGAGACTGTCCTGCCCCCATTCCACAGATGGAGAAATGGAACACAGTCACCCGACTTCTCAAAGCTGGCTGGCAACCAGACCAGGCCATGCAGCTGGGCTTCTGATAGCCCATCCAGCTCAGATCTCAGCCGCTGCTGGGATTCTCTTGGGGTCCAGAACTTTCCTGGGCCTGACTTCCCTGGGTCCACCTGCCACCCCTGGTCCTGGCTCCGATGGCCTGTGCCCTTGGCCAGTACCCTCAGCCCACATGCCCGCCATGATACCTTGAGCTGAAAGAAATAGTCCTCGACCTGCTCCTCATTCAAGTTCAGCTTGGCAGCCACCAACTGCTTCAGGGTGCGAGCCACATCCCGGGCCATGCGCACGTCCCCACAAACATAGAGGTGACCCGGCTCCTCGTGGAGCACACGGAGCACCTCGCTGGCCAGCTGCTGCCGCAGGATGTCCTGAACATAGACCTGAAACCAGAGGAAATGTTGGATCCAGTCCCTGGCCACTGGGGTCCAAGCTTGCAGGCGGCCCTGCTAGCCTCAGGGAGGCAGCGAGAGGGCACTAAGGGGTGAGTCCCTGTGGAGTGAGTCCTCTCCCAGCCAGGACCTTGCACAAGGCCAGGCTCAGGATGAGGAGGCACATGGGTGCCCTGGGGGCTGGGCTGGGATTAGAGAGATGAATGTCAGGCACAGTCCTGTCCTCGAGGGGCTGAGTGGGACTCCCAGAGGGTCTCTGAATTTGCCATGCTTCAAAGAGGCATCAATGATGCCAGTCCCCCCACCCGGGGCTCTGCCTACACCCCAGAAAAGGGAGCCTCTCTATGCAGACTGTCCATCAGGTCCCTGCAGGGGCGGATCCTGGGCTCCCCAGTTAGAAGGTCCAAGAGTCAGTCGGGGACTCTGCTCCTGCTCCACACAGGATGCCCAGTGGCTCCAGCACCGGGCACAGAGCACTGGGCCCGAGAGGTGCCCTGATGGGATGAATGTGTGAGGGCTGAGAGTCTATTTTGACACCCCACTCCCTTGGGGGCTGCAGAGCCTGTCTGAGGGCCATATGGAAGCATTGGCTGCCCTCCAGCCTTGCTGGGCTTGAGCGTGGCCAGCCTGGACCACCTCTCCCCGGGCAGTTGCGTGTCCCCGGGGCTCTGGGGTTAATCCATGTGTGACCTAGGTTAATCTTGAATCTCTCCAGCTTGTTGCTTCTGCTGGAAGAGAGGGCATAACGCTCTTTACAGCATCACTCTGATGGTTGTGAATTACCC